TGAAGAACAATAAGAATTGCGGTTGATCGTTTGATCTCCAAGCTGCCTTAGACGAATTGGTTAGATGGTCCTAGAGTTCAGGCATTGAAATTAATTCTAGATTGTGCTCATGAACACCGGGTATTGTAATAGTTACCAGTATACTGTCAACAGTAGATCGCTTCCATGAGTGTAGGAACACAAAGACTAAGGGATAATGATGAGTCACGAATTGGGATTACGGATTACAACGCAGAAGCCACCAAAGGTTTTCGAGCGTTGTGGTCACTTTACCGAGTATTAAAATGGTTTGATGAGACGTTTCGAATTTTATGCACTACATACATAAGACCACACATAGAGTACTGTATTCAAACAGCCGGTCTATATCTTTTTAAGGATACTAACAAACTCGATCGTGTTCAGTTTGTGAGAACAAAGTCAGTGAAGAGTCTCCCAAAATCCCTTTCGATGAGCACTTAAAATGCATGAACATTTTCCTCTGATCGCATCGCAAAACGAGAGATGACCTTTTATTAGCATTCCTTATTTTTAATAGCGATTTGAGTGGAAACATGTCTTACTTACGAAATCAGCCTAATATTCGGCTTTTTCAGTTTCTCACATCAAGACTTAACCTTCTGTGCCACCCATTTTTACCCATTACTATCCGTTTTTAGTGCACCGTTCTTTATTTTACGGTTGTAGACATTTACTGAGATCTATAAAAAAATTTTCGACACCATAGTCATGAAGAATCCATACAGGCCACCCGGACGCAATTTTGCTGTTACCTCTGGCATACAGTGGGACAATTGCAAAAGTTGTTTCAACGAAGCGTGCACACATTTTACAGTAATCAAAACGGACATAGTTAGTCGGATTGTAGATGTGTATGCGGCACGTGCAACATGAATGCTGAGGTTTTGCTGAGCAACATCATCATTTTTTGACGGATCCACGGAAAAACCTGTTAGCAAACTTGAAAAAAGGTAGTACTAAGACGGGTAAACAAACAAAGACGAACAGTGAATACAAGAAGAGAGATCTTGACAACGCTGTTATTGACGGAGCATGTAACGACACTAGTGTGGACATCCTGAAGCACAGCGCCGTCATAAAATTGAAGGTACTAGACTCCCTCAGCAAACTGTGGTCTACTAGCACTCAATCCCTGAACTCAATGGTGGTTCCCAAAAACTGTGTAGATAGTTGGACACTAGTCAACAAAGCTAACATGGATTGAGTGTCACCGTATTAAAAGCTGAACATCCTAAGTATTGTGGTCAGATCAACTGATGATTCGGACGACAGTCTACCCACAAAATATCCAACCGGTCAGCGTAGAGCACGGTAATCTGGAACGCGCTTCAACCACCAAACAACAAGGGCCTCAATCGAAACGTACCTGAAAACCCTGGAAAGCAATCACGGTTCATGATGATTCTCTCATAATCTTGAATCTTAATAACAGCTCTGACCTTCCTCTCAGTTTTCAGCGTAGAAACGACAGAATTCTCTGGTAAAAGTTAAACGAGAAGCTCGAACTTCCCAAAATAGAGCCTTTGACGGTCACACGGCTCACTCAGGGATAGAACGTTAAGCATCAAAATCACCCAAAACTACTTCGTGTAACAGTCGCTAACGCTTTCGACGTAGAAGGTATCCTACTGACTAGTCACTCACTGAAACCAGATAGGAATGTAAGAATACTGCCTGATATGCCGTATTCTGAGCGCAATCTCATCAGAAACATCCTTAAGGGATCTCGTGAGAAGTCTTTCCGCCAAAGAGATATCATTGTAGAAGGTGTACAGGAAAACACGGACCGTGACAACACAGACCCTGATGCTTGGGAGTGGAAATTCATCAACCAGTCCTTGAAGCTCAAATCACAGTTACTCAACAAGTGGTGAGAATAGCCAATAAGGAAGGGGATCCAAGACACTGGCTAGTGAAGTTAAGCTTACTATCCTTCCATGTGGCGGCTGAAACTCTAGAATTATTTCGTGCCATCAGACACCGTTTTTCATATAGAATCCATATGCATTCGCATAGGCCACAATATACACAAACGCAACTTAGAGCTGATCACTCCACTTGTGAACTGTCTAGACTATAAAAAACAAGTGGAAAGGACAAGGGCTACCAACTCGGAAGACCATGTGTAGGTAGTTCGCCTGTCCATTCACATAAAGCTCATACAGATAAACAGGAAATTGAAAGTATAAACTGCTTATACATGAACGACGCGAGTTTACCGACTGAAATGAATGAGCTGCGTAAACTCAATAATGCAAATAACGCTCATCTGATAAGAATATCTGAAATTCGGATATCTTCTCAGTTTACAGACCAAGAGCTATCAATATCCGGGATGTTTCTGTTCCGCAATGACAGAAAAACAGGAATTGCCTGGAGGCACATCGAGTGCACAACCAAGAGTTTATCAATCTTGATGAATCTGTATGGTGCTCAGTAAGATTGTCTACCACCTTAAGATGCCCAGTTGGAGTCATCTTCAGGAAGCGCACCGCTGACATCAAATTTGACAATCATATGTTGGGAGGACTATCCCGCTCTACTCGTCTCGGATTCACTCATATCCTGATTCTCGGGGATTTCAATCTTCTTAAAGTCAAGCACGCTGAACATACGTACAATGAAGTTGAAAATTCTACTGACACTCGGTTCTGAAACCTCATTGAAGATCTGTGATTATTCGAAAATGTGAAGTCGGCAACTCGTTGGAGAAAGAGTCAGACGCCATCGCGCTTATGCTGCATATTTACAAACGACGAATCCATAATTGATAAGCACTCAATCATTGTTCCCCCAGGAAAAAGTGATCACGCCGTTATAGCCTTCAGTTTTGTCAGCAGAACTGAGCTAAGACATCCTACCAAAAGCAGGTGTTGGATGTGTCAGCTTCACAGGACAATCTACAGCAGGTGGATAGGGATGTTCACCTTCAAATTGATGTAGATGCTCATTCGGATTTCTTTCTGCACACGATCTTATATGCTATATGGCACTCCGTTCCTCAAACAGTTTTTAAAATCTACAAGTAACCTGTGGTCATCAAGAACCGCACTCTTCGTTTGCTATGCCGCAAAAGGCACTACTGGGCGAAATACAAACGAATCGGTAACAACGACGGATACAGGTAATTCAAACGAGCAAGGGACATATGCACAAAGGCGATAATAGAAAACAGACTTTAGTATCAGATAAAGCTTATCGATGAGTTTGTCTCCAATCCGAAAAGCTTCTTCCGTTATGCAGCCTCTCTTCGTCAAGCTAGGTCCTAATGGCCCGACCAGTAACGGCGGCGATGCCGCTAACCTTTTAGCTGAACAACACCCTCGGACATTTCAACCGATACATCAAATATACTGATGACAGCTTCATCTGCAATTGCACGGGACTTTCCGAAGTGGACCTGAGGGCTTACTTAGTGCACTGGAAACTGCAGCACCTAAGAAAAGACACTTCACCTGGCCCAGATATAGTTCATTCTGCCATAGTGAGGGAAGCAAATTCAATCCTGGCAACACCATTTAGCGTTATGTTCTCACACTCGCTAAGCCGAGGCACATTATTGGAAATTTGGAAGCTAGCTCACAACACACCAATTTTCAAAGGATGTCGACACAGCGAACCTTCAAGCCACCAACCGGTGTCACTTCCCTCTTTACCCCAAAAATTAGTGTCCTTGATATGCAACGGTATACATAAGTATATATTATCCCTAAACTACTTTTCACCCCAACAGCATGGTTTCAGGAAGGGTTATTCTTGTATAACCAACCTGCTGACTGCTGCGGATAGATGGACAGCCATCTTTGATCGCAAGGGGAAGGCTGACATCATTAACCTTGACTCCTCAAAAGTCTCTGATAGGGTCGACCATATATATCTTATCAATAAGCTCAGACGGTTAGGTATCAAGTCACTTCCAATCGACTAGCTTGCTTCATTTTAAGGTCAGGGTTAACTTCAAATTATCTCGGGCTATGGAGTGTCGCAACGGGGTTCCCCAGGGTTCAGTGCCAGGAACTATTCTTCTTGACTCATATAAAGGATCTTCCGCAACAGGTATCGTCGGACTTATTACTTTTTGCTGGCGATGTGAAACTTTGTTGAGAGATACGCAACCAAGACGATATACAGGCACTTCGGGAGGATCTGACTCGACTTCGAAAATGGGCAGATGACAACGGACTCAACTATGACACCTCAAAGTGTAAAGTAGTCCATCTGCGACATTCTGTGGTCTACAGTTACAAGTTAGAAAACTACTATATAGAAATATCCCAGGTTGAAAAAGATTTGGGATTGCTTGCAACCTATGATTCGAAGTCTTACGCTAACTGTGACAAAAATGCCTTTCGAGCAAACCTTGCACTGGTAACATTGGAGCGCATTCCTGGCCAGTTTGATGGAAGAACTTTCCACATAACCTTCGACAGTTTCATTCGTCCCCCTTTAGAGCACGGGTACATAGCATTTTTTTCATAACTTCAAAGGATAAGAAAAATCTGGAACGAATCCAACGGTGAGCCACGAAATCATTTCCGGGACTCAAGTTTAAGCTCTATGAAGAGAGCCTCCATTTACTGAACCTTTACCCATCGGAGTACAGGCGTCTTACAGGTGGCCTTCTAATGGCTTCCGTTATCCTTGATACTTCTGTACATCCCCCTAAACACTTACTTAAGTTTAGTTTCAACACAAACCTCAGGGGTAACAGCCAGAACCTGCAGACACAACACAACAGAACGGACTGTAGACTAAATATTTACCAATTTCTTTTTCCTCTATTATTGTCAATATACCTAGTTTCCTGCCTGAAGGTATTGGTGGTCCACTGCTACTAGATACGGAAGCTCGTTAAGCGAAATCTTCTATTCCGTCCACAATCATTTAAACCGTTTGAAGGTCGTTCAAGGCCATAACGGAAAGCGCGGTTGAGTTCAAATACCAGTGTCCCAGTACCAAAAATCTTTACCAGCTGACTGATGGCTCGAAAACGAACAAAGTGGGAACTAGTTCATCAATTTGTTCATGAAGTCGTTGACTTCAGTTCTCAGTATGGATCAGAAAGTGGAACTGGATTTACAGCGGCAAATATTGTTGGTCCGTGTCAAGTGTATCCAAATTATTGTGATTCCAACGCAACAGCAGCTTTTGTAAGTTAATTCATAATGTTATATCATTTTGAATCTCTGTTTTCATTTCGTGGCTATCTGGCATAAGGTGCATACATTTGCCTTACGATATATATTTGATTTGTCAATTAGAGCCTCCTTACTAAGCGAATATGGCATAAATTACGAAGACAGTAGCTTGCAGTAACTTACTTAATGGTGTATAAACCACTCACCAGGATTTTGGGTACGAGGTTTTGAGTATCTGAGTTGAGACAACTTACCAATTTAAGGTTGATTAATAGTGTCCGAACTGTTTCAGTTTCAGTATGGGAAAGATTATAAATGCCTTGTGTTATTCTGGGCAGTGGTGGTCACTCAGGCGATCCGGTTTTCTTTTTTGAAAGCTTATGTACCTTTATTAATTTACATATAAAATTCCCTGACAAGTATATGTGTGGTCAGATTGTTCGAAATGTATAGCGCGAATACATCACATTTTTCAGGTCAACCCCGTCTTCTCAATGTTCTATCGAAATTTATAAAAGGGACTAATTACTTTAAGTTCAATGAAAGCGAAAACAGTAGTTTTGATGTGTAATAAACGATCGAAACAACAAAATTAAATCAGCAAGGAAAAATATCTTCGTTTTTTTTATTAAATAGCGCTATTTCCTAGTCGGAAGAAAAATAAAGCATGTTTCAAATCACTTCTACTGCTTAGTATTCTGTGTATGTTTTCCCTTAGAGTATTAGTTATGCTCTTTCTAAACGAAATTTGGTCTTAATTCTGTTACATTTTGTTCTGCATTTAGTTCTAGATAAGCAGGTTCTCATCACTTGTTAAATGTAAACACATTTTTCACACTGTAAAACATCAATTTTCAGCAGATTATTTCTTTAATCAGCAGTTTTGCGTCTTTCAAAATGTGATAACCCTATTATTTTCCATAATCGAAATGCGAGTGCATAAACTTGTCAATAAATGAAGTAACTATGTAGTCTTACAGTGCTACGTGATTAGAGAATAGGCTTAAAAATCTTGAGGGTGACTAAATGTAATGCTTGTCCTTAAAGTTGTAGATGTTTGACACAAATGTAGTGTAAGGTTTCTTAGATATTGTTCAGTTAATAAAAGCTATTAGCCTTAATTTCTAGGTTGTACAAATCTAAATTAACTTAAATACCAAAAGTATTTTCAGTTAATATAACCTTAACACTTTTTGGGAAATAAAGACAAACTGATGCGAGATGAGAATTCTTGTTGAATTATCTAAATTAGCCAAACAGACTATCTGTTTCAAGTACCAATGTAATAGTACTAGAGGTATTAGAACAGATTATAAATACTGAGTATGATTAAAGGATGAACAAACTAGTGGATAGAAATACACAAAATAATTTTGAAACTTAGGATATACGGGAAAGTAAAGAGTAATTATATTTGAACCATTTCGACTAATTGTGAGCCATGTTACCCAACGGGTTCTGTAGTACTTAATTTGTCCTACAGACATTCTACTAGAACTGTAAACGCCATACTGGCGATCTCAGAGTCTATGTGAAAGCTGTAGTCAGAACAAGAACAACTTGGCTTCAAACTTCATCTATTTCTAAATATAAAAATAGGAATCTGATTACTACATTAATTAAAGGAATTATAGTCTATAAGTGGAACGCACAAACATACTGACCGCTATTGCGTGTCTTATCGAAATAAATAAAAATTATGAGTTACACTAATATAACAAGATAATAATGCTCTTCAATTGGCAGGTTACATGCAACAGGGATAGTCTACGGACACATCAGACCAGATTGACGTGGTGGACGCCTAAACAACTATTTGATTGGTTAGTTATGGACATAACTAACATCTTCATTTACTGGCGGTGGTTCAGATCAGCAGTTGACTAGCTGATGGTGTCATACCATATTTTTTGGTGTCCACTATGTTTCTCTTGACCGGTGGTTGGAGATACGTAAAGCACCCTGGTTACCTTAGTTGATAAGGATTTACTATGTGATGTGGTTTAAGATAGTTACCTAGTGATCTCAAAAAGTTGATGCTTGTACCAGTTCATGTCAGTCATTTTTCATGAGGAGTAGCTTCTTGTATTCTTCTACAAACCAATAATTGTAATACTAGTGACTACAAAAAAACTAAGAAATTGTATGTGAACGTGTTATCTCGTATTTTTTTCCCTTACTAAGATTAGATAATAGAAAAAATCTAATGTAATTTACTAGCCTTTACTTTTTATTACAAATCTAGTCATAATGTTAGTTCAAATGGTTTATAACTGTATTCCATTTTGCCTAAGAGTTCTTTATGTTGATTCTATTTATGTATCAAATAGTAAGTTAGTACCAAATTGATTAGACGTGTTTTAATAATTATTTGATCTTGAAAAAAAAAATATAAATGTAATTAAATGCGGCACATTGTCTTTGTTTTTGGATAATAAATCCAAATAAAAGTTTTAGATTTTCTGGAGTTTATCATCAGAAAAGTATATATTGGGGGTGTACTGTCAAATCGTACTCGTATATTTTAGCACTACAGTCATGACCTAGTAATTTGCTCATTATTTGATACCTTATATTTTCTTATTGTAAATACGTTTCTATTGTCAGAAGTTAACAATTTTAGTGGCCTGTGCTAATGTAGTTCTTCTGGGTCATTTTATTCTCATAGCAATTCTACTGAAAAAATAGTCACAATCTATAGAAGTCAAAGGAAACACTTTTAAAATAGTGATTTTTGATTACTTCCCTTGAGAGACTTGAACCAGACATTTGAACAGAACGTTGGATTTGTTTTAATTTCAGTAACTGAGATTTTTTCAGGTACGACAACTTAAGAACGCTTATAATCTGTTTCTCTCTCCTTATAAACGCAAGAAGCTGCCTCGAGACCGATCGGCATCGGTGCGTAGTCTGACATTAAAAAGTGTGATATTCAAATTTGTTGACAACTTTAATTATTTCAGAAGTCTCACCAACCCTGGTGGGTTGATGCAATACAAAATCTCAACACGGATATAAAATGCTCACCTGACTTTTTACAACTTGCTCTACTTGTGGCATTGGTGAGAAGTCCGTACGCAAATCAAAAGGCAAGTGTGCTTTACACCAGTATGCTGTGTATTGCCCTACAACTGTGAAGCGCTACTTGTGAAAATGAAAGACATATCTAGGTCTCAATTACTCGATCCCTGGTACCTTCAAAACATTCTTGGCAAATGATGTGACCTCCAAGTGAGTAACTCTATGGTTAGGTATAGGGTTTTAAACCGATATGAAAGTTGATTGATATGACCATGAGTTTTTATCTATCAAGATAGTTAAAAATATATTACTCATACTTAACCATTGCTTAAATTGACTATAGCTAACTAACTGATTGAGAAAAATCTTTTTCTGATCTTATCTACTATAGTCATAGTAAGCTAAACTGAGTTTTTTGGTGCATATCCATTTTATGAATCAATAGTTAACGCATTTTGATTTCTAAATAATTGGTTGCAAGTCCAAAATATCCCCTACCTTTTTAGTTTGAGCTAGTAGGTGGTATTATAGCCGTCAAATTGTTTTGCTTGGTGACGAGTACACTAATATATACTTGATAAATGAGTTTCTCTATTAATGCATATATCCAATTATTTGATCCTATTATTTCATGAGTTAAAGGTATATATTGAAAATTCGTTATTTTATATACGTATTTTCTATATTTATAGCGAACTTACGGTAAATGGTGGCGTAATAGTCCAAGTAGTTTAAAACCGATCAATTTAACGCCTGATGATAATGATAATTATACAAGTGAAGATTATGTTGATTTATACTTTGATGTACCAGTAATACCAGTGTGTTTACAAATTTATGAAACTTATAATCCAGGTGCTATTGTACGCATTTCAGCTTGTTATAGACGTCAACCAGAAAATAGTCCAGTTAATATGCGTAAACTTCAATGGACTACTTTATGGAAATTAAATTATTCTAATCAAGACAAAAATCAATTAGTTCAACTTCAGCACACCGATGACGACGATCATTACCGTACACGGCAACAACAACAACCACTTCAGTTAACTTATCATTCTAATAATGTATGCACTACTCTAGCTTGTCCAGATGTTATTAATTGTAGGACACGATCAATATCTAATATGTATCCTAACAGATGTCTACCTGCATTACCATATGATGATGAAAATGCATTTACGGTTCAATATTCAGAATATCTCCCTCAATCACGTATTTTTCAACCAAAATTGGTATGATTTTTCCTATCTACATTTTCTCGTTTTTCATGATTTATTGATGTGAATTGATTAACTTCTGACTAAAAAAAGAATTAGGTGCGATAGAGTGTTTGGGACGTACTGCACCCACTCCAATTTACACTATCATAAAACATTGGTATGGGTACAGTTCTCGCTCACATTATATTTAGGAAGTTATGGAGAAGTAGTTTTTATTAAAACATATAACCCTGAAGCATCAGATTGCATGTTCGAACCTCACTCCATCTACCGTGGTTTGAGTAACTAGTTAGTATTAAACCCTAGTGCATAAACATGTACTTGTTAATGGGCTAGGTCAGAGCTTCCGACTTTAAACTACCAAGTCACTATTTCTTGTTATTCCATATCTCTGAAACTGATTTAAACCTGTAATGAGAATTACAGTCAGAATCTGAAATTGTAGATATCCCACTTATTTAACATTGACCCTGTTCATACCTTGTTTATACTTTCTCATTTATGATGTGTTCTTCACTTTTTCCTATTTGAATCATGTGTCGGTCAGTTGAATTAAACATTTTCAAATATAATCTCCATCCAACTAAAAAAGTGAAGTAACCAGTTTTAAGGGTAATAATTAATAATGCGCATTTTACATAACTTACTACCTAAGTTTCACTGAAAGGATGAATTAACTTTATAAGATCTATCCTTATATGATAATTCTCACATTTCGTACATAACTTACTTATAAGTAATGTTTTTCTTATTGGGTTTAGTAAACGTAAATCTTCAGGTAATTGGATAACTAATTTATCTCATCTGGTTATTATTATTCACATGCCCTTACCTTAATATTCTAATAGGTACGAAGGTCATTCTGGCTTTTCAATGAGTTTTTTTCCACTGACTCTTCATCTGATTAAGGAATAATTAAATTTATGTGTTCTAAGCGGAGATGGATGGTGGTGGCTAGCAGTGAGGATGTTCTTCCCATTTGGGACTTGTCAACTGCACGTACCTATCTCCAAGAGTTATTCACTTCGGGACTCGGACCCATTACTATTCTCCTCAAACACCATCGCCTTATTCACTGAGTTTAGATAGCCACTGGATTGTGCAGTAGGATGAGGTTAAATTCATTTTTATTGGTTTTGTTTATCTGAACTCAGTAGTTAAGTGGATAACGCGATGGCGTTTGAAGAGAATGGTACTGGGTCCGAGTCCCGGGGTGAACAACTCTGGGATGCAGGTAGATCTAAATGACGATTCCCAAATAGGACGAAACACTCATCGTAGATTTCAATACTAGCCACCAACCATCTCTGCTTATAATGCGTGTAACTTAATGGCAATATCAAGGCAATCAGCATATGATCCACATATGCCTGAGACTTGTCAATTCGAGTCCTTGACATCAGTGGGGAGATCCAAATAATCAACTCAAATAAATTTATATATTCTGAAAAAGTGCTTGCATATTTTTTTATTCTACTTTTAGTCCAATATTCGACCATATCCAACAGATTTATTACGAATTGAATTTGATAGTAGACGATGTAGATATTATACACAAATTGATGCTGTACGTTTATCTGGTTGGGCTGAATTAACGGATACTACTATATCACGATGGTCTGGACAACTTGAAGCCCCATCATCATCATTGTTAATTGGTGTCAATTCAGATAGTGCAGAACAATCAAATAATCGTTCACAAAATACTTTATCATTCTTTTCTGATTTATTAAGACCATGTACACCACGTTTAAGAGCATCATCATATGATGTAAGTGTAATTCTGTTGGTATTTTCGGTTACAATCATTGTGTACTTTTCTATCAAATAGATATCAATTACTTTTATGTTAGCATAAAACCAAATTAGAAAAGAATTCAGTTTTACTATCAAAGTACTGATCGGTTTTATTATTTTTTATCTAAACACATAAACATTGGTACAAGGAGGCACCAAATAGCTATGCGCCACATAAATCATTCGATTTGTGTGAGGATTGAGATACTTCTCGGGTTCCCAAGCCGAAGCACATGGTTTTCTTAGGGGGTCAGACTCAGAGCATCTAGAGAGAGAGAGATGTCTCTCTCCACTCACGGCCGTACCAGGGCATTTGGGGGCAAAAGTGGTGTTTCTTTTCTTGAATCTCAAACTATGTTAGACGGTCTAGCTTTATATTTAAGTGTAATTTACATCAGTCTCTTTATTTTATTGATCAATTTATCTAAAATATTTTATCAAAGATTTTAAAGTATCAGTTTAATTAAGTTACAGGAATTGTTACAAGTTCATAGGGAAGTGGTTGTTTCCAAGTGGTTCATTACTTATTCTATGGTAATTTTTCAACATTTTAGATATACTATGTAATTTTACATAAATTATTACTTTGAAAGTGGCTTTTACTGTAAAGCCAATTCGTTTTTGTACATGTAAATGTAACAATGTTGTGTGTGACCTGTTTATTGATTGTTTCCTATATATGTGTGTATAGACTTAGATAGATGGATTAACATTCAATAAGTCATTTGTGTTTCTTTTCAGTTAGTTTTTCTTCATAGCTCTACACTTCGCTCAAGTCGTTCCTTCTTTATTTACCAAATGACAAAATGGGAATTTTCACTATATTTGTGTTTCTGATGATATATCCACTTGTTCATCAGGTGTGGAATAATAGAAATTCTATTTTTTGTCTTCAAATCTCTAATGAGACTGTTACGATATATCGGGGCGTACACAAATTTGAAGTTCGGAACCTGATTATGTTATACGTAATAATCTAGTGTCATTCACTTAAATGCCCTTGATGAAACATCAGTCAGCCGTAAACAGTATAGAACCTGGGGCATATGTGGTTCTGTTTAAATTGTCAAGCCATATTTTGGCTTGACCTCGTTTAACTTTTTTCCTAGCCTACTACTCCAGTGAATATTATGCTTTGGAGGTCTCATCAGCCTTTGTGGTCTGGTGTGTGACGAAATCTCAGCACGGATACAGAAGCCTCGACTGGCTTTTGCCAACTTGCGTCATTTATGGCGTAGGCGAGATATCCATCTAGCAAAAAAAGGACGGGTTTACTGTGCAGCAGTTCATTCCACCCTACTTTATGGCAGTGAAACATGGCTGATAAGAGTAGAGGATATTCGTAGGTTACTAGTATTTGATCATAGGTGTCTTCGAAGCATTCTCGTATATCCTGGGACCATCGAGTAAGTCATGCAGTTGTTAGGAAATGGGTACTAGGTAAGGATGGCAAATCGATTAATGAATTAATGAAACTTCATCAGTTGAGATGGCTGGGACACGTGTTACGTATGCCCAACCACCGACTGCCCCGACTTGCGATGTTTTATGGTGTAGGAGTAGGTTGGAAGAAAACTAGGAGCGACCAGACTAAAACATGGCACAAATCCATAAAGTCACTGATAAGTGGACTAAGCCACATTGGTAGGTGTAGACTACGTGGTTGGGATCCAAGAGATGAAAGCAACCGATGGTTAGAGACCCTGAATGACATGGCTCAAAATGGTTTGCAATGGCGCAAGTGCATCCACTCATTGTGTTCTCCCAAATTCTAATCTTCTGGATTCTTCATTTCCCTTTCTTTTCTCTCTTTCCAAATTTATTTCACTGGATTATGTCCCGTGTATAGCGTCTTCAAACTATGTTTCCGATTACTGCTTATACTTTGACTACCTCTACCACAATGGGATTTGAATCGACAACTGCATCTCTATGTTAATGTGGTATGGCAACTCGAATTGATGTACGTACGTACGAAGTACTACGTTGTTGTTGGTGACTGACTGATATTATCCTTTGAGGTAGCTGATGTTTAGTACACTTTCGAACCCCAGTCAGAAAATTGAAATCCATAGTCTTTTCTAATGTGTCATCTTTTTTTAATACCCTAGATTCAACCCTAACCTTGATCAATAGGTGATTCTCACACATACACACACAAGTGATGTTTCTAAGACACTATATTTAGTGTTTACATTTCACAGCTATAAAATAAAACAAAGTAGACTACTGTATCGTAAATTTATCCTTTGATTATTAGACAAATATCTCACCCGCATTTATTTAAACACATAAATATTGGTACAAGGGGGCACCGAATATATATGCGCCACACCATGTTTGTGTGTGTGGGCTGTGATACTGCCCGGGTGCCCAAACCGAAGCAGGTGATTTTCTTGGGAGACCACTCCCCGAGCCTTTGACCTAAAGGTCTGATCCACAAGGCAGTGTAGCATCGTGAGGAGATGCATTCCCATGGTAGCCGGTGACCAACGATTGGTTCATACGCCATTTATTCGCGCAGGATACTGGAGCCCATGTGCACTATTGGTTTGAGATCCAGTTAAAGCTCCGGACATTCGCTTTTCGTCCTTTCATTTTCGTAAACAACACCCCCGTCACGAGAAGGCAGTGAGTAGAACTTCCCTGGTAGAGGCTGTATATGCGTGATCGTGTGAGACCATTTCGAGAGGGAGAGCGGGCCCACCCCACTCTCGGCCATACCAGGGCATTTGGTGTTAGCTGTTAAAAATAATACCCCATTGAAGATTTCATAGTATTCAGTTGTACCTTTAAAATAATCTTTCTTTTTTCATTTAAATTCTAAAAAAATGTAATAATGATTATATGAAAGTTTTGTTTCTTAATCTTTTAAAGAGAAATGCGGCGAGACTATAATTTATGAACAAAACCAATCAGATATAAGATAACAGGTCACTATTTGGATAAATAAAGTTTTGGCATTATAACTGATATCAGTTCGTGATGAAAAGCCAAAATTTAATTCCTAACCTTAATCATCAACTGTAAATTCTAATTCTAATTTCTCACACAGGTTTATAACCTTCATTTGGTTCTGGTTATTAAGTGAACACTCTCAAGGTCGTTCATGAATTATAATCCCATCAAAAATGCTATTATAAATTTGTCTTTTATGTAAATGTGCACATACATATTACAGCTGGCAAATTTATTTTCCCAGTATGTTTCATTCATTTAATATCATAGTCAACATAGTAACCACCTAGCATATATATATATATATATATATATATATATATATATCGATTACATGCACTTGATTTTCATCTAACCCTACCGGTTTACAAATTCATTATCATCTTTCAACTGTTTCTCAGTTCATATCTATTGTTACCTAACTATAAATCTCCATGAATCTGTGTGATTTACTCTGATTTTTTTTTATAGCTAACTGATGAATCGATGGATATGTCGTTGTCAGATGCTACGTTACCTGGATTATCACCAGATCGATTAGATGATAAGAATATTGATGAGGATAAATCTTCTTCATCAGCATTATTACCAATCTGTATTCGTCGTAAATCTTCTGGTTTGATTCAGATACCACCAGTTGGAATGAATTTATTATTATTACAAAGTAGAAATTTAGTTGCATTGCCACCAGGTACAATTTGTCAGTCTTCATTATTTGGTTTGACTTATTTAAATGAGGATGCATTATGGCGTCATGGACCATTAACTCGTTTACCGGTAAGTGGTATACGTATACATGAATTGCATAGCAGTTGTTTGTAAAAGTCATTTGTCATACTGTTTACATTAAACACAACTGATTAAGCACTTAATTTTACTTAGATTAATATAACTTTTAAGATAAATCAAGAATCGGTTTGTTTCGATAGTGTAATAAAAAGACGAAGATGATCAGAACTATCTGATGATAGATTAGCGCAATACATTTCGAACTATCTGATCACACACATCTACTTGTTAAGAACATTTATATATAAAGAAATAAACGGTCAACTAGACTGGAAATGGAGGGTAAGAGCAGATAAGGATAATAAAGAAACTAATGTAAAGACAATTCGAAACCCCATCACTATGGATTGTTCGAAATGTATTGCGTTGATATATAACATGGTTCTGATAATCTTCATCTTCTTATTACACTATCGAAATTTAACAAAGGAACTGATTGTTTGAAATTGATTTGTTTGACTATTCAACACAGTATTTAATGCTCAACAGCTCACATTCACAATCTAGACATAAGTTTCACCCAGAATCTTCAGATCTTTCGGCTAATGTACACAGAGAGTTCACCTAGGGGAGTAGTAAAACCGTAACTCTTAATCAATAATGCTTGTCGACGCTGAGATCTTAGGTAAGTCAATGTGTACAAGCCCAATTTAGTCATTGGATATCTTGGGATTTCATCTTCTGATGTAACTTTGTTACCTTATGGTTAATACCTTTAAGTAAAAGGCTTTGGCTTTAACCTTCATAAGAAAACTATTTTCTTTGGTTTGGGAGACAGAAAAGTATCACAGCATTCACATACAAATGATGTTGACCACTAATGAAACAAATAAGGTACTTAGATAAATCCTGCTATGCTTTTATTCACAAACAGGTTTCAAACCACTGGACATCTTGTTATCAAGCTTGTTGGAACTTAGATATTGAACTCTAATAGAATATGGCTAAATGCCAACGAAGTATCGACATTCATCGAATTATTATGAAACATCTTTTCTTGAAATGATAAACAAACAACTGATCACACTTTAGGATTCATTAAAAGAATATTTTGTCCTATATCAGTTTGCTCTGAAGGATTACTTTTGATAGTAATGTTGTCTTGCATCATGATATAGTGAGGTGTGTCACACGCAGTCTTCTAGATTATACTTTCACCTCTTGTTCCATTCTAAAATATCTGATATTAAGAAAGTTTGCTAATGTGTAAACACAGGGAGCTGGATAACCACTCAATCCTTTTGAATGTCATGTTGTTAACTTTCATCTAAGATATGGGATAGTACCTGAATATCCACATGGGGGGGAGGGAGGTCGCATGACTTTTGTACTATTTCAAATATCATTTATCATAGTATTAGGTTTACTTCTAATCTCTATTAATCTTTCCACATTTTATTAAGATCAATGAAAAGATTTTCATTCAATTTATTATATAAACGAGATTACATTATATTTTGGCATTACTTGGCAACCTTACTGTTTATGGATTGTAGATTCCTGTACCATTCACTTTCTCTGTTATTTCGTTTGGACTTATATGAAAAAAAAAACTAATTTATATTCCATAGAGTATTTGAATTCAATTCAGTCTAAAAAAGTAAGCACTAAATACTTTTACATCATTATGCGTAAACATTTGATATCTTGCAAAAAACATACTGGAAAGTATTATTCTATCTAAGTGCAAACTATTCATTCCATTGTAAGATGTTGTATTGGTTAAAGCTTGTTGTTACTATTATTATTATCTTTGTTGGGATATTCAGGAAAATATCCCAAAAATTATCCTGTTAAGCCTAATGCTATCCTTGGACATGAAATGGTATCATTTTCTTATTGGTCAATATTTATTTAACGTGTTATTTTCCTGTTGGCCAATATTGTACAATGTTATTTCCTATTTTATGGTACGTTGTGGTCTGCCTGACTAGTATATAAACAAAGTATGTTTGAAATATAACGATTCATACCTCCGAGGCTGTGACAATCTTCTATAATCGCGGGGGGGGGGTTTTGGTGTTTTTTTTTTGGTTACATAATTATAAATTATTAAAAATTTTATTTTATGAATTTTTCTCTTGACAACAACATCTACAATAATATCAAGTATGAAATTCTACTTCATATTTTCTCTTATTTGGGTTTAAGAAGTTTACTTCGTTGTGCATGTGTATCTCGGTAAGTGAATGTTATAGTAGTTGTGTGATTTATACAATTTTTTTGTATTTTTGTCTTGTATTATTATTATTATTATTATTTTAACACATAGATATTGGTACAAGGAGGCACCAAATACATATACGCCACACAAATCTCATTCGATATGTGTGAAGGCTGTGATACTGCCCGGGTGCCCAAACCGAAGCAGGTGGTTTTCTTAGAGGGCCACACCCGGAGCGTTCGACATGAAGGTCTGATCCATAAGGCAGTGGGGCATCGTAAGGAGATGCAGTCTTATGGTTCATACGCCATTTGTTCCCGTAGAATACTGGAGCCCATGTGCACCATTGGTTTGGAATCCGGTTAAAGCTCCGGACATTCGCTTTTCGTCCTCTCATTTTCGTAAACAACACCCCTGCCACGAGAAGGCAGTGAGTAGGACTTCCCTGGCAGAGGCTATATACGCGTGGCCATGTGAGAGCATTTGGAGAGGGAGAGCGGACTCTCCTCACTCTCGGCCGTACCAGGGCATTTGGGGACCTTTGTCTTGTATATATATATATGAGTTATATCATATATTTTAAGAGTTTTCATTCTAATCAACATGAAAATATAAGTAAATATACAAGTTATTCTGTGTGGGGTGAGTGGGGAGAGTTTGATCACCTTCTCGAAATGCTCTCACATGGCCACGTGTATACAACCACTGCCAGAGAAGTCTTACTCGGGGCGGGGATGTTGTTTATAAAGTTGAGTGAACAAAAAGTGAATGTCTGGTGTTTTAACTATGTTGGTGGATACAGAGGATTCACCTAAGGGATTGGTAAACCCTGAATCCAAACCAATGGTGCATATAAACTGCATGATTATGAGGGAGCAAATGGCATATGAACCAATTGTTGGTCACTGGCTACCATGGGACTGCATCTCCTTTACGTTATCCCGCTGTTTTGTAGATCAGACGTTTATGTCGAAGGCTCCGAGTGTGGCTCCCTAAGAAAACCACCTGTTTCGGTCTGGGCTTGAACTTTAATGTTGGACGAAGTTCAACAATGAATTGATTCATAGGCAAAAGAATAGAACTTTATTACACTTGAATAAAGTATTTAACATTTAAATAATAATCTTCAATCAAATGTATACACTTAAAATAAATCAGTTGTCTATTTCAATAACCTATTGGCTCATTCAATAAAAAACAAAGAGAATTCACTGAAGAAAATTTTCTTTTTCAAAGAAATCATTTACTTCAGTTGTGTATAGATACTTATTTAATTTCACAGAAAAGGGTTTTTGTGAATATTATAGTATTTTAATAGTTGATTTCATGAATCAATTGAAGTTAGACTACTATGGAAAACCTGGAAGCACTAGACAACTGTCCCATCCTAATATGGGACTCTTCAGCAGTGGGCATCCACAATTCTGCCCCGCGGAATTCGAACCTAGGACCTTATTTAATTTATTTTTTATTATAATTACATCATTCATTTTAATCAATTTCTGAATAATTACTGTTTCACCTTGATTATACCTTTTTCAATGACCTTACTACATTGTACTGATAATCTTCATCACTTCAATCATGCACTGACCATTGTTGTTTATTTAAATTTATTATACAATTGAATATAAATAAGATTATAAAGTAAGAATAAATGAATATTATTCTAAATCAATTGTTGTCATTGTTCCATTGAAATTCATTTGAAAAAAGGGAATTAACCTTATGAAGAATTATAGATTGATAGTATTAACGTTTAAGTATAATGCACTAATATTGGATAGCAGTGGAATCCAGTCTGACGCGCGTTTCGTCCTATTTGGGACTTGTCAGCTAGATGTACCTGTATCTTAGAGTTGATGTTCACTCTGGAACTCGAACGCAGTACCGTTCGCTTTAAACGTTATCGAGTTATCCACTTAGCTACTAAGTCCTGATAGCCACTTGCTTTTGCAATGGCTTGGAGTTTAAATTCAGTTGGTATTGTTTGTTTGAATCTTCCCATTGTTATTTAAGACTGCAATTGATCAGTCTCATGTGGACGAGTCTCAAATAGGGAGAAACGTGCGTCCTGGATTCCACTGCTAGCCACTATCCATCTCTGCTTAAAAAGCTTATGACTTATGGCTATATCGAGGCAATCCGCACGCGATGCATATATACCAACAAAAGACTGATCAATTGCAATCCTAAATAACAATGGAAAGATATGAGTAAAACAACACCAAATGAGTATGAACTTAGCTTTAAAGTTTAAACACATATAATCAACTTTTCGGCGAGATTATAATGTATTGACGAACCAATCAGATTTACGATAACAGTTCTTGGATTTCGGCGCGAAATTCACTCATCCATTTGGTTAAATAGCGTCTTAACATTCTAACTGATATCAGTTCGTGATAAAAAAAAAGCCCCTAAATCTAATTGCTATCCCTATCCATCAACTGTAAATCACTATCCTTATCCTTCACACAGGTTTAAAACCTTCATTTAGCCCTAGTCATTAGGTGGACATCCTCAAGGTCACTTTAGCGTCACTCAAAGGTCGTCCATAGAATTCTAATCTTACCAACTATTCTAGTTGAAATTAATGAATTCAAATTTATATCAGTGTAACAATCAACAGCTTTGAACATGGAATTGTCTTCTTATGTTCGTTTATTAGTTGGTAAATTTCTTCATAAAATAAAATACAAACATTTTTTTTCTCTTTTATTTCATTCTTTTTCTTGTTTTATTACATACAGTCAATTCCGTTGTCTAGTTAAAGATACACTGGCTAATATGACTAGTATAGATCTTCAATCATTTTGGCCAATATTAAATGATTCAACATTAATTAGTTTAGGTAAACGTCTTGGTCAAGTTAATTTGACTGCAAGAGCAGTTGTTGAATATTATACAACAGGTCAATCGTTAGTTGCACCAATCACTTTATTACGTCGTCAATGTAGAGAAGAAGAACAAGAAGAAGTGAATAATGATGAAATTGAAAATCAATATGTAGCTAATCAACAGCACAATTTAAGTACACGTTTCAATTACCGTACTAAAACACGTGTCCATACACCATTTGCTGCACGAGTACGTAGTTATAGTTCGAATGCTGCTGCACGTTTACGTAACCATACTAGGTTATTGGATTCCATTCCTTCCAATATACAAAATATATTAGTGTATAATAATAAAAATTTTCTTGAAAATGAAAATGATACTGTAAATCAAAATTTGAATGTTAAAATATCCGATAGTTCAGTAGAAGCATTACAAGTACAAACAGATGAATTAAATCAAGGTGATTATTTTGAATTGCCAAATTCTCATTTACGACGTTTAGATATGTCGTGGTGTGGAAACTATTCTATGGTGAGTTTAAATGCTTGTTAAGTAGATATGTATTCGTGTGTATACATGTTTATTCCTGTTTTAAAACTCCTAAAATGTTATCAAAAAACCTGATGGAAGCACTAGACAGCCGTCTTGTTCTAGTATGGGACTCCTCAACAGTGCGTATCCACGATCCTCCTAGCGGGACTCAAACCAAGAACCATCGGTTTCGCACACGAATGCTTAACCTATAGACCATTGAACAGGCCGACATCCAACGGTGTTAATGTCTAACTTCAACCAATCCACAAAATTGCGCCACCGCCCACCAGTGTCTTTAGCGAGTACATTGCCTCACAACAGACACGGTTGAACTCCACTCCAGTACTTTCAGGCTTTCCATGATGGTCTAGCTTTAATCGACTCATGAATTCAACTATTAAATAATAAAATGTTGTCAATAGTATTTCCCCTATTTTTTGGGTGTGTATGTGCTTACAATAAAATTCAAACATCACATTAACGAACTAGTTTATGTTATTGGTATAGGCTTTAAAAATGCTATTCATATATAATTGAACTAAATATTATAATTACCTTATTGAATGTCAAAGAGAATAACTTTTGTTGACTTATATCAATTAACATTTTAATTGAATAAACTGTCATGGATGTATTACGGGATAGATTGACTTGAGCAGTAAAGAGAACGTTTAATGCTCCCAACCTCTGCCTATCGTACTCGACCCGGTCGATGGTGATTCCGCAATTGAAGGATAAGTTACCTGGTTATGCCACTTTCTATGTGCATCTACGAATTCAGCTGCTTCTGTGGAGAAAGCTATATTGGGCGCACTACCAGGCAACTGAACCAACGAGTTAGTGAACACCTCCCTTCGTGGTTAGGAAAAGATTACGTCAAAACAATACGCAGCTCGGTTCCATCACACGATCGATAGCGGTCATGTAGTGGACAGAAGCAAGTCATTTAATGTTATTTATCGTATTCACACTAGTTTTCCTTATGGTGTTCGATCTTGTCTCTTACACATAGCAGAAGCTATAGGAATTCGAACCAACAATCCAAGTCTTTGTGTTCATAAGAATTTCGTAACACTCTTATCTCTTCCTTGGCTTTAAGTAATAAATGAATGTATTTATTTATTTATTTATTCTCTTCGTTTATTATTTTTCTTCACACCCTCCTACCACTTTATTTTCTCTCAACTATACGTTTCATGGTCCAATTATCTGAACATTTCTTATTACGTCATCTTATAATCTTCATAATTGTTATCTCAGTTTCTATATTTTCTCCTAATCATTGACCTATTTCAGATTATGTAACATTGATTTGAACCTTTAGTATTATTGCTTATCAAAAACTAATACACCTGTTGTCACACCATCAATTTGTACTTTTCACATTTTACTTATTATGTAATCGTTTTCATTGTTATCATCATTGACTTATAAACTACCTTGATTGGTTTAATTCATTTCGTATATGCATATAAATACATTACTGTATATTAGAGTAAAGCCTGATGAGGATCTAATCGAAAACAATATTGTTCGCTTATATCTATGTTATTCTAAATTTACAAACTTATTTATCCAAAAGGGGGTTATGTAATCATTTTGAAACTAGACACGTCTTATGGAAAATAGTTCATCCAATTCAATTAAGCCATATATATCAATATGAAATTAGTCTTGATTTTTAATGCTATTTCAACTTGCATATATTATTTATTATTTATTTGAACACATTATTATTATTATTATTATTATTATTATTATTATTATTATTATTATTATTATTATTATTATTATTAGCTTTATTCAATATTATAATTTTGGTACAATATAGAATTTTCAGCGCAAAGTATTTCAACAAGTTTCCGTTTCTTTCTTCTTGGTCGGTCCTGGCGATAAATATTGAGGAATCGCCAGCTAGATGTTAGCACTTCAGTGAATGAACGACTGAATAATGTACATTCTTTTCGTTGTACATTGCCAGCAACCATATTGTCTCTTATTGAGTTTTTTGTAACTTTGACAACGAAAGGTTGTACACTTTTCAGAAACGCAGCAGAATAGGTTATGCGATTAATAAACATAATGATATATTAAAACAAACAACAATAGATAACTTGTTGAAATATCTAGATGGCAGGAACAGGTAGCCCAGATGCTCAAGCAGGCCGCCGAAATACTGCTACAAGGAGCACCAGTTACATATGCACCACACAAATCTCATTTGTTATGTGTGAGGGCTGTGATACTGCCTGGGTGCCCAAACCGAAGCATATGGTTTTCCTAGGAGGCCACACCCGGAGCCCTCGACCTAAATGTACGATCCACAAGGCAGTGGAGCATCGTAAGGAGATGTAGTTCCATGGTAGCCGGTGACCAACGATTGGTTCATACGCCATTTGTTCGCGCAGGATACTGGAGCCCATGTGCACCATTGGTTTGGAATCAGGGTTTTCCAACTCCCTTAGGTAGACTCTCCATATCCACCAACCTGGTTAAAGCGCCGGACATTTGCTTTTCGTCCTCTCAATTTCGTAACCAACAGTAATGCCACGAGAAAGCAATGAGTAGAACTTCCCTGGCAGAGGCTATATACGCGTGGCCATGTGAGAGCATTTGGAGAGGGAGAGCGGACTCACCTAACTCTCGGCCGTACCAGGGCATTTGGAGTCATGAATGATTAGGGATTTTATCATCTATTATCATTATAACATCTATCCAAGTATTCTAATAAAGTGACCTCTAACCGGATATCGTTAAAATTATACATGCATGTGATTGCCTAATGAATTAGTTTATTTCGTAAAGGGCGAGATACTGACAGGCTTCATTTCTCAAAAGATATCTATATACGTTATCCAAATCAATTTCCTTCTTCACTCTTCGCTCTTTCTTTCAAGTAATCAAGCATGTATTTGACAACAGCACGTATCAATATCGGCTTTATAACACCGCGTATCAACAACATATTCCTACATAATGGTGAAGTTTAGCGTAAAATTCCGAAACCAAACATTAGCTTTGTCTAAAAATGTAATAGAAAACCACATATTCACTATAGATTTACAAACCTCAAATTATTAAGTGTTCGTGTTTCATTTATGCATCACTAAAGAGAAAACTTATCCTTAAGATTAAGTTCGAATAATTTTTTTTCTGGTTAGCGTTTTTTAGCGAGTTAGTTTTCTACGGGATGAGGTCGCTAACCCCATACCCAACCCTCCTCCTTTATCGAGGCTTGGGACCGGCAGTAGCCCCCGGAGGGACTCCAGGCGGAGTTATCCTTAAGATTAGTTAATCAGAATTAAATGAAAACACACTATAAACAATCGATGTGTATGTTTCAACGAATCGGACGATTCTTCAATTAACCTGTAATACACTATTCAGTGACGTAATTATAAGGATTATATATCATATCCTTCTATATAGATACATCTTCAAACAATCTCTACTTTAATTTGTTGGAAACAACTGAAAACAAGAAATAATCGGAACATTATAGATTACAAAATAATGTTTGTCAAAATAATAGTACATAGGTAAAAGTGCATACACATCGTAAATAGGGATGTTCTATTTAATAAGATGGTTTTTCATTGTATGAAAAAGTTCACAAGTATTGATTTTTTTTAGAAAACATAGTGATTAATAGACCTAAGAAATTGATTGCATTCAAATTCGATTTGATCCTCCTAACAGTATTACTTACTGTTACTCCTCGTGTAGGAACATAGGCCGTCCACCAGCACTCTCCATCTAACCCTGTCCTGGGTAATCCTTTTCAGCTCTTTCCAGTTGTTATCCATCCTTTTCATATCTGCTTTTATTTCCCGACGTAATATGGTCTTTGACCTTCCTCTTTTCCGCTTCCCTTCAGGATTCCAAGTTCAAGTTTACCTCATGATGCAGTTTGATGATTTCCGTAATGTATATCCTATCCACTTCCAACGTCTTTTCCTAATTTCCTCTTCAACTGGAAGCTGGTTTGTTCTCTCCCAGAAAAGGCTGTTACTGATTAAATCCGGCCAATGGATGTTGAGTATCTTGTGTAGACAACTCTTTATAAATACTTTTACCTTCTTGATGATGGTTGTAGTAGTTAGTTCATTCGTGATTATATTAATTTTGAAAAAAAATTAATCGATTTTTTCGGCTTTTTTTGTTGTTGTTAATAGATATCACCAACAGCATTTGGTCATTTCCTCACTGATGCTTGTCGTTATTTAACTACATTACGTTTGTCTAGTTGTAAATTTCTTAATGATGACTGCTTGTTACATATTGTCAATACTTGTCCATATATAAAAGGTGAGTAGTAAAATTATAATTCATACTTGTTCTATCATAATGTTCAAGCTTAGCAACTAAGCACTGATTATTGCACTCAACTTTCAGTCATATGTTTTAATGTGAAGGGTATTATATCGATCTGAAGTAATTAGAGAAGGGTTAAGTGTTATAACTATTTATCTGTCACTTATAGTCATGTTTGTAACTAAGTTCCTATATCGTGTATGTCAATTAGTGTTAATCTTTAATGATACTGATGATAATACTTCTCGGTTGATGATTGATTCCTAAACAGAATAAAAACACGGTTTATGGATTCCACTACTAGCCACATTTCATCTATTCTAATATTGACTTATATCATATTGGTTATATCAAGGCAATCCTCATAAAGTGCCCAAATGCCCAACCAAACCTAATCGAATTTCAGTCAAAAATAATATCATCAACAGAATAATCCAAGTTTAAATAATAAATATTTATTTAAGAATGCCCAATACTAATACTCAGTAGATGCATTTACAGAATGACTAAATAAAGCTGTTTATAGAATTCTGTAATTACTTTGTTTACTTTCTCTTTCTTTTGTTTGTTTGTTTGCTGTGTGTGTGTGTATGTATGTGTAGAACTTGATTTATCATCATGTCTTGGTATTACATCATATGGTTTCTTAACATTGGGTCGATTAATTCACTTACAATGGATATCACTATATCGAACACATATTACTGATAATGGTTTAGCGATATTAGCTGAATTATGTCAATATTTAAAGCATGTGAATCTTGGTTCATGTATATATGTTAATGATATGGATCATATATTGCATGATTTGACAAGAAATAATCCGTAAGTAAATAATAATTATCAGAAGAGGTTTTGTGGGGATTTTGGAAATTTCACTAGTTGAAATCATGAGTCAATTGGTTGAAGTTAGAAATTAACACCGTTGGATATCGGTTCAGTGGTCTAATGGTTAAGCGCGAGACTGATAGGTCCTGTGTTCAGATCTCTCGGGGGGGGGGATCGTGGGTGCACACTGTTGAGGAGTCCCATACTAGGACGAAACGGCCATCCAGTGCTTTCACGTTTTCCATGGTGATCTAGCTTCAATTGACTCATGATTTCAACTAGTAAATAGTAATTGTTAATATTTGCATGTTACTTAAATTTAACATAAGACATTTTAACGAAGAATAATGTTTTCAGATAGATCATATATTTATATATATAAGCGAATAATATTGTTTTCAATTAGATCCTCATCAGCATTTACTCTAACATACAGTAATGTATTTATATGCATATACGAAATCCCAGTAGTATTAGTAACGACAGTAGTAGAAAAAGTAGAACAGCATAAGAAAATGTGGGGTCTTAAGAGTGAATGCATCTGCGTCACTGCGTTTGGTTCTGAGACCACCTAAACTCTTCAGCCATTGGCTACAATAATCGCCTCGATCCCTACTAGGTATTCGTTTACCTACACAGCTCAGTCCAACACTCGCAACATGGAATATAATCACGTCTTGATTTGATCTCTCCTGGCTTTCTTACAACTTACTTTTATATCAACCAACATCATTCATCAAATTAGGCGGTCCTGTTGCATACGCAGTGCATATCACAACCACTTCAGTTGATGGAGATTAGTTACTTCATTAGTCGATTTATCATCTTTACCAGTTACCCTATCCCTAACTTCAGCATTGTTTACTTGATGGAATGAAAATACACAAACAAGACACCTATAATAGAATACTGGTAACCTATGAATATCCTGTCATAATGGCCATGTATTACAATCACAAAGTAAAACAAAAAGGATTACCGCTCAATAAACTCGTCTTGTTGTTGTCCATGTCACAAGTGATGCAAGTTTCCAAAGCCAACTGAGCTTTTGTTTAATTTATGAGAAACTTTGGATTACTAGATTTGAGTTTTCTGTAAGATATATTGCTTCATGTTGTTCACATAGTTTGTTGTATTCTCTTTTTAATTATATTGTTTTCTAGAAATTTACGTTCATTAAACTTATGGCGATCCAACAGTTTGACTGCTACAGGACTATCATCTATATCAGAACATTGTTTACAATTAGAAGAATTAGACATCGGTTGGTGTCGTAATGTAGTTCTAACACAAGAATCAAATTGTATTGTACAATTAACTAGTCGTGTTCGACATTTAAAAAAATTATTCTTAACCGGAACAAAGTGAGTTTGATTTTTTTTTCGTACTTTCAAACATATGTTCACTAGTGACTGGCTTCAAGATGTATATCCTGGAGTTCTAGTGAGAAGCAGTGACCAGTGGAGTTCAATCGGGTCAGTTGTGAGATAGTAAAGACAATGGTGAATGTGTCTCTCAATTTTGTGGATTACTTGAAGTTTGACATTAACACCGTTGGATGCCGACTCAGTGGTATAGTGGTTAAGCGCTCGCGGGCCATGTTGTGGATGTGCACTGCTGAGGAGTCCCATGATATGACGAGACGGCCGTCCAGTTCTTCCAGGTTTTCCATGGTGGTCTAGCTTTAATTGACTATTATAATTATAAATCTCTGTTCATGTATCGTTAATATTGTATGACATTGTTTTTATGATTTTGATGTGTTGCGTGAGAGTATGGTATATTTTAACTACTAAGCAAAGGTAGACGAGCCTCTTTATCCAAGCTCACTGTACTGTTTCGTGTTATATCTTAAACAATAATTTCAATGTAACTCTTCAGACTTCACACTGTATATATTTTGTGTTAATAAACTGTAGTTATGATCTATTGTCTGATGTTCAGTTGTCAGTCGGATATTGTATATATATGTGTATCGTATGACTGTTTGTTGGAGAGATTCAGAAAACTCCTCGAAAAAAAGCCAACTAATGTTGCGCAAACACTGAGAAGCATCTTATTCAATCAGCGTTCACTAGTTTTGCCTGAATGTCACATGTCGGTTTTCTAATTGGATGATTGCTCATACTGCTACTATGTTTAGTAGCACTCCAGAATTTTCATGAAATCCAAGGATATCTAAAACTCTATAAAAACTCAATATTTTCTGTACAAAAACGAATTTTCGGAGAAAAGTGTTTCTTATGTATTTCGCACCTTTTCTCTCATGTTTAAGTCGCTGTTTAATTTTAGCTTGGCATTTACTAGGAGGTTAGATACTAATCCAGCGTTCAAGTAGCAAGACTTATCACTGTTATTTTAGTCTGTTAGTCTTAAATCGAGTATCGTGTCCCCGTTCGGTTATACTGTATATCACATCTCAAGTATAAAGTATTATCTTGTTGTAGCGGACATTTAGTAAATTTGTAGTGTCGGTTATTATGTTAAGCCCATATATCTTATTCGAGCATTCGGATAGCCCATTCTGTTCATTCTACTTGAGTCACATTCGGACCTTGTTATTTATTCGCTTATCAATCTTGACTGTTTTCATATGAGCGCGTAGGTGTGTGTACATTTCTTATCCCATTACTCATCACATGTTTGTAACTTTTGTGTAACTATAACTATTAATTGATTAACGCTTGGCTTACCAGCCATATCCACTCTGCGTCGTTTCTCTTCTCTCTATTCCATTCGCCTTATATACAAAATATGATGTATTCACAAGTTCATTTTCGTTATTTGACTTATCTAAATCCGTTATTGACTAACGCGATTTATGTCGATAATTATATACGAGGGATAGGCGATAACAAACATTCATACAATCATTTTGGAGTCAGATCCACGGGTCACTAAAGTGGAGAGCCCTTTTGACAACATCGTTAGATTAAAACGACGACAAAAATTATTATTAGTTAGTAAATATTGTTTATTGAAACCGAAGTAATCAGAATCGGAAATACCTGTAATAATACAAAGTGAATCAATACTACTGAATTGTCTGATCAACACTTCAACAATAACAATTGCTCGTAATAAATAAGAAGAGCGATAGGGAGAAAATGGTGACATTAAACTAAACGTTTGTGGTTTTTAGGGCAAGACAGTTAGATATGTGACTCCTCAGCAGTGCGCATCCACGAACCGCACACCGCGGGATTCGAACCCAGGACCTACTGGCTTCGCGCGCGAGCACTTAACCATTAGACCCCTGAGCCGGCATCCAACGGTGTTATTGTCTAACTTCAACCAGTCCACGAAGTTGCGCCACCGTATACCATTGTCATCAGTGAGCTGATATCTCACAACAGACCTGGTTAAACTCCACTGGTAACGGCTTCCTACTAGAACTCCAGGAGTATCTCTTGAAGTCAGTCACTAGTGAGCAGATGATTATTATCAGAAGGGATTTGTGGAGATTTTAGAAATTTTCACAGATTGAAATCACGAGTCAGTTGAAGCTAGACCACCATGGATATATTGTCAGCATTATGTGGTATATCGTTCAAAACAAAACAATCAATAAAAAGTAGATACGAATTACGTAACGCTGTCACACCACCAAAGTTATCAGTAATCAATCAAGTTGTTTAGGAAGCTACAATAATGATCCCCAATCATTGAAAATAGCATTTCCAGTCTATGGTTCCAGTTTTTTTTAGAATCTGTTCAATCTAGTCTTATATTATTTCATAATTTCTTTTTCTCATCTTATTCTTATCCTCTTTTAGTCTTCTCAATTCAGAAGAACTTCTGTTAATTAGTCAATATTTAAATGAAACTTTAGAACAATTAGATATACATGGTTCAACAAATATTACAATATCTGCTATTGTTTCTATGCTTAATCAATGTGATAAATTGAAATTATTAGATGTATCATTTTGTTCAGAAATTCATTCAATTCATTTAATTAAATTAAGATATTTATTTCCATATTGTACAATTATTGATTCAATACCAGATATGAATGCAGAAATATTAGGTAATCAATTCCCTGAAATGATTATTGATGAAGTTGTTGATGATGACGATGATGATGATGACAATATTGTAGAAAATCAAGAACCATTAGTAGTAGCATTACCTGCACCAAATCCATTACAACAAGATATTGTTGCTTATCATTATTAGATTCAGTGAGTTTGTTTGTTCATATGTGTGTGTGTGTGTGTGTGTGTGTAAAGAGTAACACTTTGTTCAACAATGCAAATGAATCCAATGTATTCGAATCGATTTACTTTCCATATATAAAAACAGTTTTATTTTACTTTTTTGTTTATGTTTTCTTTTTGTTTTTCTTTTGTTTATATTATTTTAATTTGTATATTTTATTTTCAAAATTCCACCGTTTTATTTCGTTGTGCATTTATGTGTTGTGAATGAATAAATTGAAAAGAGTAAATAACCACTATGTAAATTGATCATTGTATTGTTTGTAATATTATAGATTTTAGTTGTAGTTTTAGGACTTATCTGCTTCAATACCTAAACTAACGATAGGGAGTGAAGTAATCGAACGCGTTGATAACTTCACTTATCTTGGAAGTCTGATCAGCCCTAATGGGTTGGTGTCTGACGAAATCTCAGCACGGATTCGAAGAGCTCGCTTGGCTTTTGCCAACTTACGTCACCTATGGTGAAGGTGACATATCCGTCTATCAATAAAAGGACGAGTATACTTCGCGGCAGTCCGTTCTGTTTTAATCTACGGCAGCGAAACATGGCCACTAAGAGTTGAAGATACTTGTAAGCTATTAGTATTTGATCACAGATGTCTTAGAAATATTGCTGGCGTGGTAAATCAGTTGATGAGGTTGTGAATCTTCATCGACTGAGATGGTTGGGCCACATGCTTTGTATGCCTGAACACCGATTACCACGACGTACAATGCTAACCGGTGTTCGGGATGGTTGGAAGAAAGTAAGGGGCGGCCAAACCAAAACAATGGCATCAGTGCTTGAAGTCACTAACTTCTAGTAGGTTGTTGCTAATAGTGTCTGACCAACGGATCCAAAGTATTTTATGTAGACAGCTGTTAATAAACACCTGTATATTCTGCATGATGGCTTTCGTAGTTCTCCAGGTTTCCGCTCCATACAGTAGAACTGTGTTGACATTTGTATTGAAAATCCTGGCCTTTGTGTTAGTTGACAGCTGTTTTGAGTTCCAGATGTTCTTCGGTTGTAAATATGCTGCTCTTGCTTTGCCGATCCGCGCCTTCACGTCTGCATCAGATCCTCCGTGTCCATCAGTGATGCTGCTCAGATGTGTAAAGGTTTTTACATCTTCCAAATCTACTCCATCAAGTGTGATTCGATTGTGAAATGCTGTGTTGTGTCGGAGAATTTTGTTTTTCCTTTTGTGTATTTGAACTACTAAATCATAAGTATGGATTGTATCTTAGTGTATTTAACAATCTTTTGTAGTGAACTGATCTATGGTCGGTTATTTCAATAGATTGATGATTCTTAGCCGCACCATGTATCCTATTTTCGTTATACGTAATTTGTTTAATGATAATTCCCAAAGTTTGACTCATGAATGGATAATGAGTAACGTGCGAACCACAGTTGGACCAATTATTTAGTTTTATGATACGAGTAAGGATATCTTCGTAAGATTTCGAAACGTGGAAATCGTGATTTTGACTTATTCATTGTCGATATCAACTAACAAAACGTAGACTCGGAAAGTCATTACTCGAAGAATAAGTACAAGTTACGGTGAGACTTACTGTATTCTATACGCTTATCTCGTTGACGAAGAATCTTCAATGAGTCAATAATTTATGGACGACCTCTGAGCGACACTTGAGTGCCTGCCTAGTAACTAGGACCAAATGAGGTTTATAAACCAGTGTGGGGAATCAGAATTACGGCTTGCAGTTGATGGTTGAGGTTAGGGATTGGATTTAGGGTTCTCATCAAAAACTGACATCATCTATGATCCCAAAAGACCTGGTATCTTATACCTGATTGGTTTTCCCATAAATTAGTCTCGCCCAAGTTATCTAATAGCTAAAATTTCGATTATTTGCAATTACTGATCACATTGATAAATTTACCTGCGAACTAACAGACAAAAGTGCACTTTCATTCTGTGAAAGACTTTCCCTGGTATTGAAAGTAGTGTAAAGCCTCCATAGTTTTCACATTTGCTCAGATCTTTCTTTGGAATCCTGATGAAGTGTCCTTCTTTCCAGTCCATCGGCACTTGTTCCTCTTCCCAAATCAGAAGGCAAAGCATGTTTGTAGTTACTTCGATGCCTGACCACAGTGCTTCAGCTGGTATGTTGTCTGGTCTTGCTGCTTTACCGCTCTTGATTTGTCTGATGGCCATTTTGATTTCTTCCGTCGTTGGTGCATCGACATCTATAGGGAGATCTGTGTGTGCTGCTCCGATGTCCGGTGATTCATTGGAGCCGGCCTATTCAGGAGTTCCTCGAAGTACTCTACCTATCTGTTCCTCTGTTCTTGAATTTCAGTGATTGACCTGCCTTCTTTGTCCTTGATAAGTCTCTCTGGTTTACTATATTTCCCTGCTAGTTTCTTCGTTGTATCGTAAAGCTGTTTCATATTTCCTTCTCTTGCAGTTTTTTCCGCTGTCGTTGCCAGTTCTTCCACGTATTTCTTCTTGTCGGTTCTAATGCTCCTCTTCACTTGCTTGTTTGCTTCTGTGTATTCAGCTTGTGCTTGGACTTTCTCTGCTCGTGTTCGGCTGTTGTTTATTGCTATCTTCTTGTTCTTCCTTTCTTTGATCTTGTCCAGTGTTTCCTTATGATGGTATTTCTTTAGACCCAGAACCTCTTGACACGTTGAAGTTAATGCTTCCTTGATGCCTTTCCAGTTGTCCTCCACACTAGTTTCTTCTTCTTTTAGTAGATCTTGTAAGGCTTGGAACCTGTTGTTGAGAGCTATCTTGAATTCATTGAGTTTGTCAGTATCTCGAAGGAAGGCTGTATTGAACCTTTGTAGTGCTGTTTGTCCAGTTCTTCTTTAGCTTTAGTTTTAAATTGGCCACAAGGTGGTGATCTGAAGCTATGTCAGCTCCTCTCCTGGTTCTCACATCTTCCATTGTCCTTCGGAATTTTTTATTGATGCAATTATGATCTATTTGGTTCTCTGTAGTGTGGTCCGGTGAGATCCATGTAGCCTTGTGTATACGCTTGTGTGGAAATATTGTGCCTCCTATGACCAATTTGTTGAATGCACATAGATTTGCAAATCTTTTTCCATTTTCGTTTCTCTCACCCAGTCCATGTCGTCTTTTGATATCTTCATATCCGGTGTTGTCTATTCCGACCTTGGCATTTAGATCTCCCATCAGAATGGTGAGGTCCTTTGTTGGGCACTTCTCGATGATTGATTGTAGCCTCTCATAGAATCGATCTTTAATGTCGTCGTTGCTATTATTGGTGGGTACGTAACATCGGATAATATTCATTGTGATCCCCTCCTTCTTTGTCTTGAATGATGCTTTGATGATTGTGGATCCGTGAGATTTCCATCCTACAAGTGCATTTCTTGCTACTTTGGACAGCATTAGAGCAACTCCCTGAGTGTGTGGAGCATTTTCCTCTTCATGACCGGAGTATAGTAGTATCTCTCCCGTATTTAGCCTTTGTTGTCCAGCATAGGTCCGATGGGTTTCGCTGATTCCCAGTACTGCCAAGTTGTATCTCCTCATTTCCGTTGCTATTTGACTGGTCTTTCCGGTCTCCCAGATCGCTCGTACGTTCCATGTACCTATAAAAATTGTTGCCCTGATTGTTAGGAGGGGCATCGGCCTCGTGGCTTCCGAAGGAATTCGGCTTTCACCATGAGGCGTCATAGTTCTTCTAAATGAAGACCTAACTCCCAGGGTAGAGGTTAAGTGGTTTGAATTATTTCTCCTGGTAAGCGTTTTTTTAACGAGCTAGTTTTCTACGGGATGGGGTGGCTAATCCCTTGCCCAACCCTCCTCCTTTACTTGAGCTTGGGACCGGCAGTAACTCTAGAAGAGCTACAGGCGAAGTTATTGTTGTTGAGAGAATTGTCATAATATAGGAATGTAAAATGAAGACAACTTCATACCATACCATTGAAGTAAATGTTTCTATGCGATGAATTACGTAAATATGTGGTTGTATATTATATATATACATATATTCGATACAACTTTCACCAATGAATGTTAATGATAGAAATTCGAATAACTACGAAATGAAAATTCTACATAATTATACTATGAATAATGTTATATTGAATGTTAATTATTACATAATTATGAATTGAATTCTTATTGTGCTTTATTAATAAAACATATAATCATCGTCGTTGTTTACTTCCATGATTAGGTGTATATATGAATGATTATTAAAAAATACCATTAAAGAAATAATAATAATGATTAGAAATGCAAATGTTCATACGTAGGTATGTATGTCTACTATTATAACATTATAAGTAGTATAATCGAAAAAAACAACAATAATAATGTTACTAATGAATATATGATTATTATTATTATACGAATATAAACGACAAACAATAAATGATCAATCCAATAATGTATTCAAGAAATCAATCATTATTATTATTATTATTATCGCCAGTAGAAATGCAACTCATGATTGATTACAATAGTTCAGTAATCAAAATCAACTGTGTTCATGTCAATGTCATCAAATGAGTAAGTTTCCAAATCAAAAAGATAAGCAATTCATGTTATACGAAGAGAGAACAAAAAAAATGTAATAAGCAGATTGATTTCCAAAACTTGGAGCATGACTTCTTTGTCTTGATTAGAATTTAAGAACAAGACATGATTACATCACGTAGTACTGACACAGGATGATTATCACGTGTTGATGTGATTGTGGCATCTTCTAGAAGAACATCTACAATTTCACATTTGGAACTGTCTAAAATGGTAATAAACAAAATGAAAAACAGATACAGAATCCATGAAATTATATGACACAACCGAAATAAACTATATGATTTCCTGATGATCTTCGTTGTTATTTGATGGGTTGCTCACTTCTAGTCTACTAGTTTTACTTGTCATAAGGTCACATCTTGCAACTAAATATCGAGTTATTCTAGTTCAAGCTTGTTCCTCTAAGTTTTCCTGACCTTATCACTTTCTCCTGTCTTTCATCATATTGAAGATTACTACCGAAGTGTTGTATTAGTCACTCGATCTATCGAGTTCTCATTGGATTCCATGTGCATGAGAAGAATCTCGAGTGCTTATAACTAGGAATTGCCGAAGGTGAAAACTTCATTTTGTCACATGCTGAAACATAAAAAAAAACAGTCTATCTAGCGTATATCTAACAAAAAATAACCATTTTTGGTTGAGGTTAGAGTATCGTTATCACGTCATTATTACTTTGAAATACCTTGGAAAAAAAACAATGCTCTCAAATGGGACCAAATGCCTACATTAGTAAAAACCAGCATGAATTAATATCTAATCTTAAAAAATTTGTAAGAATAAAGAGATCGCTTACCTGATCTCGTTAATTTTCTTGATTTATCTGGCATCTCTGAGGTCAAGTCCACACTACGCACTCGACGAATATTTTCACGATCTAGCGTTATAGAAAGAAGACACAAATTACAATGAAGTAGGAAAATTAACTTAATTAGTAAAATGAGATCGTATAAAATTTTATCAACCAAAACGGTGCATAAATCACACTTTAGTCATGAAATAATATCTCTATCTTAGGCCTACTTCATGTCATGACTTCACTATTGAAGAGTATGAAACATAAGTTGGAAAATAAGTAGTTAAACATTAAACCAATACAAAAGTTGTGCTAACGTAGTTTCATTCTTCCATAAGTTGTTTCTAACACAATAAATTGTAGCTATTATATATCCTTTTTTCAATACTGAAAGAGATGTGTCTGGTCAGTTAGCTACAACGTAAGACCAGGCACATATATGCACCGGTCCAAGTTGCCATACCGCATTAGCACAACTAAATGAACACCAAATTCATAGAAGTAGTTAACTCAATGGTGTAATATATAAAAGAAAGATTGCATATAAGGATATAGTACAGGAAAAAAGAATTAGTTCCTAGAAAGAAAGATATGAATCGATTTTAATCTCTTAGTTTAAAGGAAGACAAAGTGTATACATTTACGCTATTGTGATCGATTCCAAACCATGTCACCCATAGTCTCCAACCATTAGTTACGATAGTCACGCGGACCCCAACCAAATAATCTGTATCTATCAACATGGCTTAGACTAGAAGTGAGTGACTTCAAGCACTGATGCCACGTTTTGGTTTGGCCGCCCCTAACTTTCTTCTAACCATCTCCAAAACTAGTCAGTATTGTGCATCATGGTACATATTCAATATTTAATAGAAATCAAATTGGAAAATTCAGTATTTTGCCCATTATGCTGATTTATAATGATTCATCATTATAAATTGTCTCTATGTTATATATAAAATTAATTACAATTTTATACTCCTTATATGATAATCAAATCATTAATTCATAATGATTATTAATATTGAATAATGAACAATAATATATAATTCGAAAATATTTACACAAATTAATATGTAATGACATTAAATAGTCAATAGATTACATAGTGTTGGGATACTCGGAAAAATACACCAATTATTATCATGTTAAGTCTAATAGTGCCCCCTTGGACTTTAAATGGACATTCCCTATTGGTTAATATTTATTTCACTTGTTAAATATTGTACAAAATGTTGTTTTCTATTTTTATGGTACGATATGGTCTGTTTGCTTGGTATATAAACGATTCATGTCTCAGAGGCTAAGACTTGCGTTCTGGACTCAACTGGTTGGGCTAGACAGCGAAACAGGGCCAATCGGGACTTTAGGTCGTTCGTGCGTGTTCTACGTGTCATTGATCCGATCGTTAAATACGCTGCGCATCTAATCTGCAGTCGACACGTTACAATACATAGTAACTAAATAGAAATAGGGTATAAACATAAAATATCAATATTTATCATACATCATGTTGGATTTTAATAATCTCTAATGTTTGTACACTATTTTATAAATTAATTATGCAAAATGATTTGACAGTGGCCTAACATCAATTAGACAATCGGAAAATAGATAGATAGAATTGTTATTTGTTTCTACTGTGGAGTATTGGTAAGTTGTTGTTGTTGTTATTGTTCTTTTTAGGTTGGCACAGTAACTAAGTGATTAAGATACTTAGGGTTTCAACTGTTGATATATCAGGTTTTAGATGGGTGGTATTACTGAGTGTCGTAGTAAAAGTGCCTTAGAGACAAAGTACAAGAATCTGTGCATGGAAATGAGTTACAAAAGTTGAATAAAACAAGCACTGCATTTATAGATTCTTTATTTGGTTCTTGTCTCCAAGTATCCTGGTACGATATTCGGTACAAATCTAATTTTCTCTCTCCCAAAACTATCGTATGGCTGAGGGTTTATAGCCTGTTCTAGAGAAGTTCTACCCACTGCTTTTATGTGGTGATGTTTACGAAAAAGGAGAGATGAAAGTGGACGTTTGTCAATTTAATCTAGTTTACAGAAATGAAGGATCAATATAAGAATCAAGAAATACTAATTCAGGAAAAAATAATGAAGATTTTATATTCAAAGACTAACCAGGTAGAAGGATACGCAGAATATCTGCCTGATCACTGTTATCATAATCACCTACGAATGGATCTGGATTGCCCGGTTTCATTGATTCATCTGGCATCTAAATAGTAAAATATAATAAAATTGAGGAAAAATGCAAAAGAAAACAATAGAGGTAGATTTTGTTTGATAAAGATCGTCCGTGTTCTCACTCATGAGATATAACAGAAACCTAATCCAGGGATTACCGCTAACTTTGATTTTGAACGGTGACTGTTAAATTGCACAATCTTTAACACCCTGCAAAAGGGGTCATGATGGACCACCAAATAGATATGCGCCACATAAATCATTCGATTTGTGTGAGGGCTGTGATACTGCCCGGGTGCCCAGACCGGGTCGTTTGATATTCCATACACCACTGTCATAGACTGATCACTTTTCTAGTTTTTACATATGATCGCAATGTCGGAAAATCTTTCACCGTCCGGAAGGTTGATGGAACGAAAATGCTCCAATTATCGAGGCGGAGATATCATAACAACACTAATAAAAATTTTAGAATGAGATTGTAGAGATTATTCAATTTCATTGAAATCGTGAACAACCCTAAGTTTAACAACCATCGAAAACCTGAAAACACTGGACGGCTTTGAGTTTTAGAAGCTCCTTAAGCAGTGTGCAACCACAGCCCCGCCCGCGTAAATCGAGTCCGGGACATTCGGTTTAGCGAGCGAACGCTTGACCTCTAGACCACTGAGCTAGCTTCCAATGATGTTAATGTTTAACATCTGTCAGTCTACGACATTGAGCGACTATCTTAAATTGTCTTCGGTGGGTAACTGCCTCACACCCGAGACAAATCAGCTCAACTGATAACGGCTTTTCACCAATTACTTACTCCTGTTACCCGGTCTTAAGCCCGGGTAAAGGAGGAGGGCTGGGTGTGGAGTCAGCATCCCCATACCATAGAAAATAACCTTGCTAAAACACGCTAACCAAAATAAACAAATTAAAACAATGAAACTCTGCCCTACAAGTTGAAGGAAGAATTATGACGCCTCATTTTGAAAGCTGATATTCCTCGAAAGCCACAAGGCCGATGTCTCCTAACAACCAGAGCAACAATTAATATGGGTACATAGAATGTTTAGACAATGTAGGAGACCGGGAGGACCAATCAAATAGCTGCCCGGTGGTTCCCAGAATATTTAGAACACATTGGACCAAACTGGACAGAAAAAGATAGATTAGGGAGAGATGCTGCTGTACTGGTGCTGTCTGGTCACGAAGAAAGTGCTCCACACACTCAGTGAGTTGCTCTGATACTGTCCGAAGAAGCACGAAAAGTACTCATTGGATGGGAATCTCATGGACCCAGAATCGTCAAAGCATCTTTCAAAACAAAAAATGAGGGAATCACAATGAATGTTATCAAATGTTATGCACCACCAATGATAGCAATGAAGACGATAAAGAAGGTCAAAGGAGGACGTGAGAACCAGAAGGGGATCTGATATAGCTGCAGGTCACCATCAACTGGTGGTTGCCAAGATGAAACTGAAGCTGAAGAAGCATTAGACAACTAGACAAACAGCATTACAAAGGTTTAATACACCCTTCCTTCGACACAGTGACAAACTCAAACAATCAAAGATAACTCTCAACAACAGGTTCCAAGTCTTAGAAGATCTACTGAAAGAAACTGTTATGGAGGACAACTTGAAAGGGACCAAAGAAGCATTAAATTCAACGTGTCAGGAGGTTCTGGACAGCAACAGGTATCATTATAAGGAGTGAATCTCTATGAAAAACCTTATCATGGTTCACGAAAGGCAGAACAAGAAGACAACAATCAACAATAGACGAACAAGAATAGAGAATGTCAAGGCACAAGCTGAATACACAAAAGCAAACAAACAAGTGAAAAGGAGCATTAGAGCTGACAAGCAGAAAAGAAGTGTGGAAGACCTAGCAACGACAGTGGAAAAACTTGCAAGCGGAAATATGGGACAACTACAGAGGCACCACACTACTATCAGTACCAGGAAAGATTTTCAAGTGTTATTGAACCGGATGAAACATTTAGTAGACGTCCCGCCTCAAATCAACAGGTCGGATGTCGTAAGGATCGGTCGCCACACTACGAATCATTGTTGAACAATCAATTGAATAGAACTCGACACTATACATCCACTTCCGTGATTATGAGGCGTTCCACTATGTGGATAGGTGAACCTTATTGAACCTTCTTCAAAACCATAAAGTGAGCAGCTGAGATCATTAACATAATCCGGAATTCGTACGACCGACTATACTGCAAAATTATGGATGGAGAATATCTGACAGATACATTCCAAGTACGAACCGGTGTCAGATAAGTCTGTTTACTCTCACCCTTTCTCTTTCTTCTGGTAGTTGGCTGGATTATCCCTATCTAAACGTAAAATGTTGTTTTCGAACTGATGTATGACAGTGCCTAGTCTGACTATACAGGAGTAAGTAGTTGAGCGTTGATGGCTTGGGAGTTATATAAGAACTTGTAAGTTGTCGGTTTACGAGATTTCAACAGTTACAAAATGCTGGCGTAGTTTTTCTCTTGTCCTTTATTAACTATATCTTTTAGAGTTTTATCATTGTTGCTTTTGAAGCAGATTAGACATCACACCAAGTTACTTTTGAATGAAAATATACTTCAAGCACCTGACGAGTTTTTTCAGTACACTCTCGATATTTCCATTTTCCAGATATGTTTGTAGAGATTTTCCTGTTGCGATTTCCCTGCTTTTACCGAGGCGCTAACATACACTAATCCGCACACTGAAGCATGATCACAGCTAAAATGTAAGCTTTAGAAGAAGCGATATACCTCTGTCGACCTTCTCAGTGATTGGTGACATTTGGTCTACATTTTCCCATCAAGTGAGCAACTTATCGAACAAAATAGCTAAGTACATGGATAATCGTCAACCACTTTTTCTACTTACCGTAGATGATATCATAGAAATAACCTCGAAGAGACGCTGTGATTCTAGAGAGATTAACATGTTCTTGTATTATAATGTATAGGTTGCTAAAATAGCACATAGTGTGCCACCGATGTGTTCAGAAGTATTATAAGCATGCATGGAACTTTTTGAGAACCTGAGAAGGAACTGTAACTAAAATACATATCTGTACTAATAGTTTTTTGGAGGTACAGCATGGCTGCGTGTCTAGACATACGCTCGAGCATTGGTAGAAGTTGCGTGGGACCGACCAAGTTGCATAAATTGGAATACACAACGCAACCTATCAAATAGTACAATCCACGTTACATAACAGCACTTACATTTGGTTTACAAAGATTGGGGTTGTCCAACCCTTTGGTTTTGAAGGGAACATACTCTATATCCATAATTCTCGGTAAGTTTGATATGGTGCCTGTTGTGACGTTTGGTCATGAATTTTTTTATGGTCGCATCCAATGGAGACATCGTTTTAAAGATTACTTTAGTCTGGTTGCTGTTCATGTGTATACTTTTTGTATAGGAATTCGTTTTTGAGTTACAAATTTCTAGGTGGGATTAAGAGCTGTAAACATGTAAATGACCTAAAACATCCCTCTATATTACTAAAAATCAGAATGCAAAAGTCATTACCATATCTGAGCTTTCCGTGTTTCATATGAACATTAGGTGGATTTAAAAATATGTACGACACATAATTCTTTGTTTTCTTTCCTTCCTAGCTAACTCAAAACTTCGCATTTGCATAGAATGGTCTCAGATAATAATAATTAGTAATAATAATAATCTACATACAACGAACATTTTTAATTGAGAAAAAAACTTACAGCAGGCATTATATCTCCTTTATATTCACTTATTGGAGGTCTTGTTGAGACTAGACGAAAGGCTGGTACACCAGCACACCATGACATAATCAATGAATTATGAATAGTATTATATGGATCTCTATCTATATACCAAGGCTCTGTAACAGGATAACCTTCCACCGAATCCTTTAAGTCATTTCCATCCTAATTTCACAAATTTGAAGTTGAGAGAAGATAGGTGTTATGTATAATGATAAACTGGATTAAAATCACACGTTTTATTACCGATATTCAATCAAACTGCTGTTAGCTAAGCGAGATGAGACACATTAAAAACAGAGAGAGTAACTTATAACGAATAATATCTGACATCCTTTCTCAAATTAGTAAAGAATATCGTAATTACCAACCATGTGTAACTCAGGAAAAACACTGTTGTGTTATATCGTCTGTTAACACTGGGTGGTGGTTTTTTCTTTGAAAACAAATGACCAATAAAGTAGGCAGAACTCTTCATTGTGTAATAATTATACTACATGGTAGCTTGATTTAAATCAGTTCCGGGCATTATATTTACAAACTTTTAAGAGAAATTAGTTTTAACGATTATCAACCTTTTATTAGCAGCTGTCGTACTATTGGATGCATATACATTGTAACTCGTTGCTCTAATCTTCCCATTTATAATTTCGAAGTTGTTTGGAGCTTTTATTATTGATCTGCACATTAAATTTATACCTGTATGTATGTTGATTTATTAAGTCACGTCCGGCGTTGGACCTGGCATATTTTAGCATCTGTTCAATTTGCTATACCACATCGGTACAGTGAGGTGCTAGAATAGAAGTAGTAATAATATCAGTGGTGAAAAATATTAAATGTAGACCATATCATTCAAGAGAGATATGAATTCACGAAATAAAAGAGCATGAAAAAACTCCGAAACTTAGGACCTAAGAAAAGGTAAGGAGTGAATGAATGCATTGTGACAAACTCTGAGCCACGTCATCCAAATTTTCTAGCAATTGAAGATAATCGTGTGTACACCAACTGTGTAGGCTATACCTATCTACATAGCTCAATCCAACTTCGATGGTCTCACGGGCTTACACCGTGTATATCTTGGACAACTCTAGCCTTTTTCTAATCTACTTCTACACCATCCTATATCCCACATCGAGGTATACGGCTGTTGGGCATAACTTAACACACATTCCAACCACCTTGGTGGATAATGATTTGCAACATTATCAACTGATTTGTCATCCTTGCGTCTAACTAACCTCAGGACTACTAACTCGGTGGACAATGTCCATGACAAAGCTAAATAAAAATAAGTAAAGTGGATAGCCCTAACGAACATCATTTGGTGTTATCAATCTCGATGAGTTACCCAGTCAGTCAGTCAGTAACAACGTGGAACTTCGTACGTACGTACATCAGTTCCAGTTGCCATACCACATTAGCACACAGATACAATTGTCGATTCAAATCCCATTGTGGTAGAGGTAGTCAAAGTATAAGTAATCGGAAACATTAGGGTTTGAAGGTGTTATTCGAGGAGTATAATCCAGTGAAATAAATTTAGAAAGAAAATAAAGGACGTGAAGAATTCAGAAGAATTTGGGAGAACACAATGAGTGGATGCACCTGCGCTATTGCAAACGATTTTGATCCATGTCATTCAAGGTCTCTAACCATCGGTTGCTATCGTCTCGCGGGTCCCAACCAGGTGGTCTACACCTACCAGTAGTGTTTAAGATTCTCTGCAATTGTTGGGGGTGTGAAATCCTCAAATACAACTTACGAGAAATGAAATCAATACCGAATTAAGATAGATATGAGGTCAACTTTCAACGCATCTCGTTGCAATACTTTGTGAACTATCAATTTATTTTTACTAAGATATGTCAAGTGACAACTAATCAGTTTGTAAATCCGAATCAATGTAACCAATATGTAACAGATTAATGTAAGTGAATTTTCGATTCTACTGGGATCATGATCAACAAATCAACAACAACAATAAAATAAGTTAAACAATTGGTTACTTCCTCTTGCTACATTATCATCTTGCGTAAAACAGTAACTTAGACAAGAGTAACCATTCTGGTTAGAGGCTAGATGATAATAATGATAAAAAATGATAACGATAATAATAATAATAATGACAATGATAATACTCGATAACAAATAATACCCGACGACCTGCAAGCTTCAAAAACCTTTAAAGACAGGGGTGATTTTTCTGTCTTGATAACTATACTTTGAAGTAACGGAAGATATGTCGTAACGAATAACCGATTGATTGTTGTAGTAGTCTGTTTCGAGTTTAGGCCTACATTCCGTCCCTACTGTGTAATGAGACAGTAAATTATTCTCCATGTTTCTAATAATTTATTGGAGATCTGTGGAACTGTTTTAGAGAATGTACGATCATTGACTTATTTTTCATAAATAAACAATTCTAGTATTTACATAGAACCGTAGTCGTATAGGTTTGAATGTTTTTTTCTCTAATAACTGAATTAAAGATGAGCAACCTCAAATGACAACTGACAAGAAATCTAAATGGAATAGGTCGAAATTCTGTTACAGTAAACAATTCAATGAGAACACTTCATGAAATCCCAATTTATTTTTACGATGACTTTTGTTGATGACAAATACTCAGTCTAAATATTCAAACCATTTTTTATCCCGTGTTGCTACCTTGACTTAGTGGTCGGGCTTGCCTATTGCGATAAACCAATCGGGATATACCGGCTGGAACAACTGTTCCTCAAGGTCCTACCATGTCAGACAGGTCGGTTGAAGAGCGGTAAGACTAAAAGCAACAAACCCAAGGTCCGAAGTCGTACTGCTGACTGTACAGAGGTGCGACAACAGTAAGGTGTTTCCTTCAGACGACCAGCATGACAGCGATGCTGCCTTCCCACAAGGAGGGGTGGGTTAGAATATGTCGACCCTAAAATGCAAAACTCGCCTTATCCCACGGATATCCGTCTCCGGCAGTAAGGTCTCAACAAGGACGGAGCTAACACAAAAACTACTCATGAAAAGGTTGTGTGTGACCGACCTCAAGCAGATGTCTCTTTGGCACTGCGGTCACTAAGACCACCTTTAATCCTATTTCCTTTTCAAGTACCTTTAGAAGAACCCTTCCACGGTGTGGGTAGCCGTGAAGTGGTAACCGCCATCAAGACCACTGTATTCATAATCAATCTCCCTCAATCATTTTTATTGATATACAGTCGATAAGCTTAATGTACTTAGATTAATTATGGTGACAAACACCAATAAGCTTGATCTACTAAACTGGTGTTTGTACTCGAGTTAATGGGAGCAGGCAAAAGAAGAGAATCGAAATAGTTTTGTCCATAGTACTGGTCGGAGTAGCGAACTACTAGCTTAGCGCACTAACGTATCAAACTGGACGTCAGCCTTTACCTAAGTTGAATTTCAGAATTTCGTAACGTAAAAATAAACATTTGAAGTTTTTAATCGCTATATTCCACCGTAGTCTGTAATGTATTATAGGTCATACCGAGGAAATTTATTAGTTCCAGTATATTATGATTGTTTCGAAGTCTTGTTGTTATATTTTGGCGAATGTTGAACTTATACTCTTACATAAACAGATAGGAAGTTGGATGGGTAAGTAGCATAAGTATTGGCTCGTCAGGGCCTGAAATGTAATTCGTCTACCGTAGTCTAAGCGGATGAGTAGCAATGTTAAACAGTAGTTGGGTCGATAGAAAAGGTACAAACAAAATGGTTTCAACTTCACAAAAATTAGAAGAAACTTACATTTAGTCGACGCAGATAATCTTCAATTCCAGATCCTCTTAATTCAGCTCTCAACGGTCTAATGTAGCAATGCTTATTTGTTCTAATCACTGTCAAGCCCTCAGAGAACAGATGCAAAATACGAATCACATTGTAGTAAGGTACTTCAGATAGCGTAACATTGAGGAAATTATCATCTGTCGTAATAGATTCTACAGGATCTATTTTTAAAAGTGGAATACGAATGCGACAAATTGATCTGTGTGCATTTGCTTTATGATTAAGTGAAGTTAACGGTCTATAACCAAGGATGTATAGCAGCAGAAATACACTAGCAATCATTAACAATGTGAACAAGACGAATAATGAACCCAATATGAAAGGACGGCTACGACTAGTACGTCTTGATGGAGGTGATCCATAAACTTCCGACCCAACAGGTGGACGAAGAACAAGAGGTTCCAGCTAAATTCAAGAAAAATCAAGGGTGCTATTACTGATAAAAACCATAAACATATCAAAGAACCTTTTGAAGAAAGTTCAACGAAAAATCGGATGGTGATAACTGTGTAATCACTATTTACAACTTTGTCCCAGAAGCAGAGTAAATCCAAGAACGACTCTTTGGTGTAAAACATCCATTGTTTTGTATTCGCGAAGTGCTTGTCCACAAGTTTAATTACGCAATATGAAATATTTGGAAAGTACGTATGTCTATTAATTCTAGGAATGGTTCTAACACTAGACAAAGTCGACAATTCAAGGACATTACACATGACTTAATCGGTGCAATGGGGTATGTCCCCCTAAGAAAACCACCTGCTTTGGTTTTTGCACCCGAACAGTATCACAGCCCTCACACAAATCAATGACAACCGCTACTGGCCTCACTGTAATTGTGTGGCGCATATGTATTTGGTGCCACCTCGTACAAATGTTGTATTCAAATAAGTAAGCAAATAATAGCATCAGCATTATGAAACGAACTAGACAAGAAAATTAAAGACAAATAATTGAAAGCTAACGTCCGAAAAATGGAGAATTAAACATCAGTACTTATACTACTATATACAGCTCATGCATATTGTCCTGTTAATGAAATTTATTTAACGCTGTCATTATATTTCCTCAGTTTAATATTTCTTATGAAGTTTAGGGTAAATCTAAACTCTGTTAATCTAGTCATACGTAATCATCCCGACTGCAGTTGATTGATGACCTAATATTAATATACTAAATTTGACGGTCAGTCACAACATAGAACCTGATTAGTATTTACGTCGGTCAAAGTTGCCATACCCCATTAGCACAGAAACGGTTGCTGGGTCAATTCCCAGAATAGTAGAGGTAGTAACAGTATGTGGTAATGGGATAGTCTAAGCATAGAACATATAGTTAGAGAGAAAATAATCTAGTGAAATAAAAACTAAAAATGTCATGAGGGACTTAGAATCTCAGAATTCGAAAGAAGACAAAGAAAGGATGGACCTACGACGTTAACAAGTGACTTTAAGCCATCCCATTCCAAGTACCTAATCACTGGTGACGACAACCACGCGGACCCAACCAGGTAGTCTATACCAATTAACATGGATAAGTCCAATTGTCAATGACTTCACGGAGTGATGCCGTGTTTTGGTTTAGCCGCTTTTATATTTCTTCCAGCCTACACCTGAAAACATCGTCAGTGAAGGTGAGCGGTCGACGGGTATACGTAACATGTCCTGTATTAACAAATTTACCATCTTTACTTAGCACTTCATTCCTTATAGAGGCATTGTTTATTCCGTGGTCTCAAAATACAGGAACAGTACTTCTTATAAACTAGTAGCCTAGGAATATCCTCTTCTTAATAGCCAGGTCTCATACCCATAAAGTAGAAGGGAGCAAACAGCTGTGCGGTAAACTCGCCTCTTGGTTGGGAGGCGGGTACTTTGTCAGGAAGAACCATGCCTGAACCGTACATGAAGACCAGAATCTGTGAACGGAACTCAGTTCTTTTCTGAGTTTACCCTACATATTTTGTATTGCTCATCTTCAGCACTCAGGAACTGATATTGTATGTTAATCCTGGTTTGCAGAACACAGGACTTCCTTAGTCTCAAATAAGAGAAGCTTCTTAATATGTAGAAATAGGAAAGCACGGGTTGCTAACAACACCTTTTCCGACAGGTCCTATTTAAGTAGACTAATATCGACGACCAGAGAGCAACCAAACACTCTAGGTAGAAAGCTTAACACAATGAGTCAGGCCACACTTTTCGTTACAATCGGGTCGCTCGTGAGAAATGATTCAGGACATGAAAATTTAAGTAATACATGTGATGGAAGTCAACCGATAAGAAAACGAGTTATATTACAAGTAATTTTTCTTAAGTGCAAAGACAACAGGTTTGTCATCTTCCAAAACTTGGGATAACTTAGATGAAGCGTCAGTCTTTATTATGAACGATTCTCTTTAAGTTGACAAAGATAAATAAGGGACGGGCCTCTGTGTAGATACCGAAATTAAAAAATTAAAATACTGGGCCACTAATAATAGTTTTTAAACACAAAGCAGACCATATTTCGAATATAGTTATTATGAATGATATTTGCAAAACATACTGGGTCTACTGCAATCTTCTCAAAGTTCTTGACATTATCCTCAGAACCCATTTTGGAAGATTCGAACCTTTCACCACATTTAAGATCAACTAAAACAAACGAAGATAAATTGTTTAACTGCTGAAAGGAATAACTTTTAATACAGCCACTCGAAACCTAAAAGAAAAACCTGTTACTCAGACAGTAAAATACCTTTTGAGAGAAAAGATGATCAAAAAATTATGTCTTTTAGTGACCCTGTATCTGACTCCATCTACATTGCATGCTGATTGTTGACGAAATATACATCCAGGCTTTCCTCGTAAATAATCACTAACTTAAATCGTGTTAGTGAATAACGGGATCCAATGAATCAACTACGAGAATGGATTTCGAATATATATATATACATCAGATTCAGATTTCAGATTTATGTAGTAAGGACAGAAGGCCTACGGCCTATGTTCTTCCTTTTCTAGTATGCTTCTGTGAGTGTCCAGTCTTCTCTTGAAAGAGTCAATTGAAGGCGCGGACACCACTGCTTCGGGCAGCAGGTTCCAAGTATTGATGAAGAGGTGTAAAAACCTGTATGCCACAGGTATTTTGTTCGTTCTTGGCTTTTCTAATCGCCTGCTATGTCCTCTGAGATGTCCCGATCTAGTGGGAAGAAAAAGAGAGAGTAAGCTAGGTCGGAAATCATTTCTCAGTATTCTGTACATCAAAATTAAATCCCCCTTAATCTGCGATAGGACAGAGTAAAGAGGTCCAGCTTTTCAAACCGTTCTTTGTATGGTAACCCCCGGAGTCCTGGGATTGCACAGGTAGCTTCCCTCTAGGATATCCGAGTCACCTTTTAACCAGGAGCTTGCAGCCTGGACGCAGTTCTCAAGCTTATTTCTCACCAGGGATGTGTATACTGTGGTGAATATGGTAGTATCTAACTTGGTGAATGTCCGTTTTTAAGCCCAGGGGGTTCGAAACCCCTTAGCTGCGACCTCCCGGCATAAGGCTGTCGTCTTAAGATCATTACTCACTGTCACCCCTAGATCCTTATGAGACCGGACTACGAGAAATGGCACTTCCCCTGTGTTGTACTTATTAATCTTTGAATCCCCAGAGTGCATATAGACACACCTTCCCGCGTTGACAGGCATCAGCCACTCTTTAGACCAGTTTATCATATTATTTAAGTCTACCTGAAGGGCACATGCATCTGTGGCTCCAGTTATTACACGCCAGATTTTTACATCGTCAGCGTATAATAACATTGGAGACTGTACTATACTTGTAAGATCATTAACGTACATTATAAAAAGTAAAGGACCTAGGACGAAACCTTGGGGTACTCCACTAAGTGCTGGTCTCCAGATGGAGCATTTGGAATTTATTCTTACTTTTTGTCTACGACCTAACTCCGCCTGGAGTCCCTCCGGGGGCTACTGCCGGTCCCAAGCCCGGATAAAGGAGGAGGGTTGGGCATGGGGTTAGCGTCCCCATCCCGTAGAAAACTAACTCGCTAAAAAAACGCTAACCAGAAAAAATTATTCAAACCTTCTAAACTCTGCCCTGGGAGTCAGAAGATCTTCATTTAGAAGAATTATGACGCCTCATGATGAAAGCCGAAACCCTTCGGAAGTTACGAGGTCGATGCCCCTTCTGACAACCAGAACGACCATTTATTTAGGTACATGGAATGTTCGTACAATGTGGGACACCGGAAGAGCCTTCCAGATTGCTGCAGATATGAGAAGATACAACCTAGAGGTACTTGGGATTAGTGAAACACATTGGACACAAGTTGGACAACAACGACTAACTACAGGAGAGCTCCTGTTATACTCCGGTCATGAAGAAGAAAATGCACCACATACACAAGGAGTTGCATTGATGCTGTCCAAACAAGGGCAAAATGCACTTATAGTATGGGAATCTCATGGACCAAGGATCATCAAAGCCTCGTTTAAAACAAAGAAAGAGGGCATTTCAATGAACATCATCCAATGCTATGCGCCTACCAACGACTACAATGAAGACGCTAAAGATCAATTCTACAATAGGCTGCAGTCAATAGTCGAGAAGTGCCCAACAAAGGACCTGACCATTCTGATGGGAGATTTCAACGCCAAGGTTGGAACGGACAACACTGGATATGAAGACATCATAGGGCAACATGAACTGACTGGGAGAAAGAAACGAAAATGGTGAGAGATTTGCAAACCTATGTGCCTTCAATAAACTGGTCATAGGCGGCACCATATTCCCACATAAACGCATTCACAAAGCCACATGGACTTCACCGGATCACACTACACAAAACCAAATCGACCATATTTGCATCAACAAAACGTTCAGGAGGACTATAGAGGACGTGAGAACCAAGAGAGGAGCTGATATAGCATCAGATCATCACTTACTGGTCGCCAAGATGAAATTGAAACTCAAGAAGCACTGGACAACGGGGCAGACAGTATCACAGAAGTTCAATACGGCCTTTCTCCAGGATACTAACAAACTCAACAAATTCAAGATAGTCCTCAGCAACAAGTTCCAGGCCTTTCATGATCTACTCAATGGAGAAGGAACTACTGTGGAGAGCAACTGGAAGGGGATCAAAGAGGCAATCACTTCAACATGTCATGAGGTCCTGGGTCACAAGAAGCACCACCACAAGGAATGGATCACTGTTGGTGCACTGGATAAGATTCTAGAAAGGAGGAATAAGAGAGCAGCGATCAATACCAGCCGAACAAGAGCAGAAAAAGCCAAGGCACAAGCTGAATACACGTAAATAAACAAACAAGTGAAGAGGAGCATCAGAACCGACAAACGTAAATATGTGGAAGATTTAGCAACGACGGCGGAAAAGGCTGCAAGAGAAGGAAACATGAGACAACTGTATGACACGACAAAGAAACTCTCTGGAAATCGCCACAAACCAGAACGACCAGTGAAAAGCAAGGAAGGCAAGGTAATCACCAACATTGAAGAGCAACAAAACAGGTGGGTAGAACATTTCAAAGAACTGTTGAATTGACCAGCTCCACTGAACCCACCCAACATCGAAGCAGCACCCACGGACCCCGCAATCGATGTTGGCCGACCAACAATTGAAGAAATCAGTATGGCCATCAGACAAATCAAGAGTGGCAAAGCAGCAGGACCGGACAACATTCCAGCAGAGGCACTAAAAGCAGACATAGCGGCAACTGCACGGATACTCCACATTCTCTTCAATAAGATTTGGGATAAGGAACAAGTACCAACAGACTGGAAAGAAGGACTACTGATCAAAATACCAAAGAAAGGCCATCTCAGCAACTGTGATAACTACAGGGGCATCACTCTTCTCTCAATACCGGGAAAAGTCTTCAACAGGGTATTGTTAAACAGAATGAAGGACTGCGTAGACGCCCAACTTCGTGACCAACAGGCAGGATTCCGTAAGGATAGATCGTGTACAGACCAAATCGCAACTCTACGGATCATTGTAGAACAATCAATTGAATGGAATTCATCACTCTACATCAACTTCATTGACTACGAAAAGGCATTTGATAGCGTGGACAGAACAACACTATGGAAACTTCTTCGACACTACGGCGTGCCTCAGAAGATAGTCAATATCATACAGAACTCATATGATGGATTACACTGCAAAATCGTGCATGGAGGACAGTTGACAAAGTCGTTCAAAGTGAAGACCGGTGTTAGGCAAGGTTGCTTACTCTCACCCTTTCTCTTTCTCCTGGTGATCGACTGGATCATGAAAACGTCAACGTCCGAAGGAAAGCGCGGGATACAATGGACATCTAAGATGCAGTTAGATGATCTAGACTTCGCAGACGATCTGGCCCTTCTATCGCAAACGCAACAACAGATCCAGGAGAAGACGAACAGTGTGGCAGCAGCCTCAGCAGCAATAGGTCTCAATATACACAAAGGGAAAAGCAGGATTCTCCGATACAACACAGAATGCACCAATCCAATCACAATTGACGGAGAAGATTTGGAAGATGTCAAAACCTTTACGTATTTGGGCAGCATCATTGATGAACAGGGTGGATCTGATGCAGATGTGAGGGCGCGGATCGGCAAAGCAAGAGCAGCATATTTACAACTGAGGAACATCTGGAACTCAAAGCAACTGTCAACCAACACCAAGGTCAGAATTTTCAATACAAATGTCAAGACAGTCCTACTGTACGGGGCATAAACCTGGAGAACAACGAAATCCATCATCCAGAAAATACAGGTGTTTATTAACAGTTTTCTACGCAAAATACTTCAGATCCATTGGCCGGACACTATTAGCAACAACGTACTGTGGGAGAGAACAAACCAGATCCCAGTGGAGGAAGAAATCAGGAAGAAGCGCTGGAAGTGGATAGGACACACATTGAGGAAAGCACCCAACTGTGTCACAAGACAAGCCCTCACATGGAATCCTGAAGGTCAAAGGAAAAGAGGAAGACCAAAGAACACATTACGCCGGGAAATGGTGATAGACATGAGAAAAATGAACAAGAATTGGATGGAACTAGAAAAGAAGGCCCAGGATAGAGTGGGTTGGAGAATGCTGGTCAGCGGCCTATGCTCCATTGGGAGTAACAGGCGTAAGTAAGTAAGTTTTGTCTACGACCTACTAGGAAATCTTTAATCCATTTTAAAAGAGGTCCGGAAATACCAAGGTGTTCCAACCTCAATAGCAGTCTATTAGTTGGCACCTTGTCAAAAGCCTTACTGAGATCTATGTAGACAACATCCACCGAGTTTCCGTTGTCTAGCGCATTAATCCAGAACTCCCTAGCTATAAGGAGGTTCGTTGTACAGGATAGACCCTTTCTAAAACCATGTTGTGCCATGTTTAACAAGTTATTGGTTTTCATAAATGCCGTTATGCTCCGTTTGATTATTCTTTCCAGTATTTTAATTACCACACAGGTGAGGCTTACGGGTCTGTAATTCGATGGAACTTGTCGTGGACCTGTTTTATGTATGGGGGTGACGATTGCGTCCTTCCAGTCCATAGGTAACACACCTTGGCCAAGTGACATATTGAATATCACAGTCAGTGGGGCCGCGATATATTGTGCAATATGTCTCAAGGTTTTGGGGTGTATTTCATC